CTGTACATTTTAATCCCATTCCCTTTTTTACCCATTCTTCTGAACCCCTCCCTTCGGGCACCCACCAAAATAGACTCTGTATCTGGAAGTTTGTTTCTGTTTTCTGCATTCATTATCTTTGTTCTTCAGAGACTTTAAATAATGTCGCTGAATTCCCAGTCTGAGAAGTTAAATTTTCATCTTACGGCTCATTTCAAAGATACTGTAATAAAAGCACTGTTTCCCCAGGGCAGCGCGTCCCACAGGAAGCTCCTATTCGGCTCTTAGAGGCCTCACCACTGCACGGGGTCAGATCCTGTGTTTTCAGCAGGGAACACCGCATTCTGAGCAGGGTTAGCCTTCTGCAGCGCCAGGGGACAGGTTTCTAAACAACCCACCTAAAGAACAGCTGCTGCCTGGCTGCCGGCTTCTCCCTCCCCCTTGGCGAGCAGGGAGACACATTTTCCTGGGCTGTGGGTAGGAGGGAGGATCAGCTGTGTGCTGTTGGGGGCAGACCTGTTTCTCAGCGGGGCAGGGTGGAGGTGGGGTGCCTGGGGGGCGGGTAGGAACGCAGGTCTCTGCGGGTAAACAGGGAGCCTTCCCATGAACGCCGGACCTCTGTGCTCTGTGGAGTGTGCTGGGTGTGGTGGTGGCTCCTCAGGCCGCCAACTCGATCTTGCGCTCTGCAGCCAGCATCTGTGCAACGTAGATGGACAGGGTCCAAAGCAAGTCGCAATTGCCTAGGGAAGACGTTTGTGGCAGAAGAGAGAGCCATTACTGACTGCCTTGATTTACCCATCCTCTGGATCGTAAACTGAAGGACGATCCCAGGGACACAAGCTTCTGGCAGTTACATGGCACTGATCAGGAACCCATTCAAGGCGTCCCAGACCCCAGACTGGCCTGCTGAGGAAGGCCAGGGAGAAGGCGCGCACGTGCTGTGCTGGAAGCGTTGAGGTGGTTATCATGGCCGGAGGATCTGTGCAGGCTGGAATCCTGTCCTGCCAGGAGGCAGGAGATACATGCAGGAGGAGAAATGACCAAGAAAAGTGGCACAATACTGTGTTGTTAACAAAACATTGTGCCCCAAACCTGCAAAAACAGTGCCTATCTATGGGCCCCCCCATCACATTCCAATACCCAGGAGCCCCCCGACTCAAATATGCCTCTTCCCTGTTCAGGTACTGGGTCGAAGGAGTGGCCAGAGGTGGCTGTTTGGGGAGGAGGGGTACAGGTATATAATGAACTTGCATGTGAGGCTGGCCTGTGTGTACTCAGGCAACGGAAGTCCTTCACGATGCAGGATAAAGCAAAAGGGTATGTGGGCGGAGAAGGGATGGGGGAGAGGTCTCTTATTGTATTCACCCCCCCAAGCCCCACACGTGAGGGGCAGAGCTGCCCTTATGTGACAGCTGGCAGTGTTGGCTGCCACTGTCCCAGGGGAACCAGCCCCAGGAGCTGAGTGGAGAGAACCCTGTAATGATGGGTCAGTCACTCCGCCTGCCGGTTGCCTTGGCAACCAAGTCTCCACTGCAGGCGAAGCCCTGCACAGCCAGGTAGTTGTCAGGGTCCGGAGGGGAGGTGGCTAAGATGACAAATGGTTGGTTCTGGGGATGGGTTCTGGGCTCCCTCAGGTACTAGGGCACTAGGTATCAGGGCACTAGGATCCCCACGGAGCCAGGGACACAGGTGAGGTGGCTGAAGCCCTCTCCTTCCAAAGGCAGGCTGTGGAGTAACAGGGAGCTCTGCTCGCTGACCTCAGGCAAACCCCTCACTTTACACATGTATACGTTAGCGACTGGCCTTCCGTATTTCGGGCAGCTGTGAGATACCACAGATGCAGCATGTCGAATAGTACCTGATGCAGACTAGGCCCTTGTTTCAGTGATCTATTGCTGTGTCGCAAACCACCCCAAAACTTAGTAGCTTAAAGCAATAACGTTTTCTTTATTCATTCTCCTGACTCTTGGGGGCCAGAAATATGGGCTCACGAGGTCTTAGCTGGTGGTGACATCAGATAGGGTCACTGACTGGGCCTCACAGAGGGCCCCTGGGCTGAAAGTTTCAAGAAGGCTCCACTCCTGTGAAGGGCGCCTGGGCAACTTCTCCGCGTGGCCTCTCCACCTGGCTGGCCTGGGCTTCTCCACAGCAGGGTGAAGGCTGTCAGCTTCTCACAGGGCTGCTGCCTTTCCCCGAAGAAAAGCAGAAGCTCCCAGGCCTCTTAGAGACCAGACGCGGGATCAGACGGTGTCACTTCTGCCGCCACCTGCTGCTGACCCCAGTGTGTGGGCACTCAGTGAAAAGAGTGCTGGCTGGTGCCAGAACACCCAGGTCCAGGCAGCAGCCCTGACCCACACGGGCCCTGCCACCCAGAGGAGGAAGCAGCCAATAGGCCTGTTTCCCTTCCAGCAATACGGCAAGGTACTGAGGGGCCAGCGCAGAGCTGGGGAGTGCTGTTAGCTCTCACGTCAGCGTCCTTCCTTCCTTTAGTCATTGAAAGACTGGACTCTTGTCCCCAGAGAGAACTTGAGAACGAGGGCTCTTGGCTAAGCACGGTCAGGATGACGTACATCTGTGACAATGGGACAGGGGAGGGAACACAGCCCCCAGAGGCACCAGGCCCTGATCCTTTCCCCAGCAGGCCTCAAGGGACCCAAACAGCAGAATAGTTAAACTGGCTGCAAAATAGTAGAATAAACGTCTGAGACAGCCAGGAAACATTTGGTTCTTCATGATGGGCTTTAGAAGATGAACTAGCCCCCAAAATTCACTCCCTTGACTGCAGAAATACAGAGTAGGTGTGCACATGCTTATCCCGCAGCTGGACATGCAGGGGGCCCCGGGAGGCGAGCTAACAGTGATCAGGACAAAGCCCCCAATTGGGGGACCCCCAGTGCAGAAAAGGGTTATGGCACAGCAGGCCCAACTACCGTCTTTCGAACGGCCTGCTTACCAGGGTGGCCCTTGGCCGGTGTCAGGGAACGTGGGTTACGGGAGGGGTCCTGCAATTCCCAGGACTAGCAAGTGTTGTTTGCAGCGCCCACAGAGTGTGCACAAACCATGTGGCGTCTGCTGGACGCCTGCTGTGCATCTGAGGCTCTGGGACTTTGACCTTGGGTTGGCCAAAAAGGCCGTTTAGTTTTTTCCATAAAATAAAAGACTTTTTTTTCATCCTTAACAATAACTTTATTGATTTGGCTATTTGGAGTATGTCAGCTATCTCCCATGTGGGACAACGTTGATTGTCCTCAATTAATGTCTCGATTTGATTGCTAACTTCAACTGGTCTACCTGACCATGGAGAACCATCCAAAGAGAAATCCAGCACGAAACCACTTTTGCAAACCACTTTTGACACGTTCGGTCAGTCACAGCACCTTCTTCCATACGCCGCGCAAATCTTTTTTTTGCACTTCAGTTGTGTTTTTACCTTTCTCGAAATGATAAAGCATGATATGCTGAAAATGTTGCATATTTTCTTCCACCTTCAATATTAAAATGGCTGCACAAAAATTCACCAATTGTGGTGTTTTTTTAAGTGCACACTGACAATCTAACAAATCACAATACAATCTAACAAAATTGTTTCAAATGAAGTTAAAGACAACTAAGCGCTTCTAGAGCCAACCTACCAAAAAAAGAAAAACAAATGAATTTTTGGGCCACCCCATATGTGCGAGGCAGAAGGTGCCTATGTGACCAGCACCCAGCAAAAACCCTGAGCTCTGAGTCTCTAGTAAACTTTTCTGATCAGCACCACTGACGTGTTCTCACGCTTGTTACAGGGGACTGAAGCGTACCCTGTGTGACTTTACTGGGAAAGGACCCTTGTAAGCCTGCACCTCGTATCCCCCAGACTTTGCCATGTGCCTTTCACCTTTGTGGGCGCTGCTTGGTGTGCTTCTGCTGCAATAAATGAGAACATGAGCAAAGCTCTGGGCCGACTCTTGTGAACCCTCCGTGTGAATTACTAAACCTGACAGTGGGCTTGGGGGTCCTTGACACAGCCCCCTATCCCGGACTTCCAGGCAAGGCCTGGGACACCAAAGTGCTTGCTGCTGGACTGAGGCCACAGATGGGAATTACTAGCCCCACTGCTAAATCCCATTGTCCTCTGCCCGTCTTCACACCCGCAATCTAAGGACCCTCGTGAGCCGAGGACACGGATGCCTGGGAGCAGTTCTCGTGAGAGTTCTTTTAGACAGTGCTGACTGATCTAGGCGGTGGTGGGATCGTCTGCCCCGGTCCCGAGTCCCCTGGACCTTGAAGCACAGGACCAGAGGACACTGCTGTCTTGGCCCCGGCTGTCCCGCTCACCCAGTGCAACCAAGCATTGAGATCACACAACCAAGGCCCGAGGCTGTTCAAACCCATGGCAACAGGCTGCAGGACCCCTGTGCAGCAGGGCAGGGAGGCAGCGCAGACCACTCATTCCCCAACAGGGGAAACGGAGGCCCAGCCGGGCTAGGTAAGTGCTGCTGCTGCCTCCCTGTGCAATCCACATCTCCATCGCGCCTCTTTCCCCATCCCCATCTCTCTCCCACACCAGATCCCGGGCCCCCGAGGGTGGGGCCACATTTAGGCACTGGCAGTGTGGACGGATGGGACTCACCCCAGGTGACACGGCTCCCCGGGGGCAGGACAGAGATTCGATTCCAGATCCTCTGCCTCCCAGGCCAATGTTCTTGTTAAGGGGCAGTCCCAGCGGACCGCACTGGCCAGACGCTGTACAGCCCACGCCCCACATGCTCAGGCGCATCCGGATGGGAAAGAGCCACTGTGACCAGAGGCAAGTCCTGGGCTGTGCTTCTCTCCATCCCTGTCTTAATTTCAGGGGCCCGGCAAGCTCTGCCCTGGTCAGCACCGACCCGCTGACCAGAAAGACCCAGCCCCAAGATTTATCCCCTTATTCTCTGAGGGAGGACTGGAAATAAACAAATGGACAGCAGCAGCATGTAAGAGAAATGATTTAAACTTTATAAAAATGTGATCATACAGCAAGATTTGATTGGGTTTTTTTTTTTCTTTTTCTTTTTTTCTGGCAAGTGAAGGTCATTAAAAAAAAAAATAACACACCTGGAATAAAAATTAGAAACTAATAAAAATTAGAAACATAAACATTTCAAGGAAATAGAGCCATCTAAAAAGACAGTGGAGAGAAAACAAGGAGCAGCAACAGCAGCGGCAGCAGCGGCGTGTGGGGAGAAAGTCGGTTCCGTTGTGACGACAAAACAATGAAGGGCCGAGGGGGGCCTGACCTTCCGCTCCAGGCTGAGCTGAGGGGCTGGGGACGGTGGGCAGTGTGGAGGCACGAAGGCTTCCCCCACAGACCCGTGAGAGAGGCACAGAGGCGTCCCAGATGGGACGCCACGATGGCCACGGGCCCGGGGGGTCGGGGCCGAAAGCAGCGGCCTCCTGCAAGCAGACCCACCCTGCCCTCCTCACACAACGCCGACCAGCCGCCGGCAGCGACTCACAGGCACACCTCTACGGATGGGCACTGAGCAGCTGGTTCCTCCTCTGTCCACTTGTCCCTCCCCTGCACCGCTGCAGGTCCCTGTCCCGCCGTGGTGAGCTCAGGGGGAGGAAACTTATCCGAACGTCCACCTGAGCTAGGATGACAGACTTGTCAGAGAGAACCGAGAAGACTAGATACAAAGCTACATACAAAACACTTTTGGAAATGTCCGTACCATAGCCGAGGCAGAGGTAGGACCACCTTGGCAAGGCAGGCTGGGAAGCCCCCAGCAACAGCCCCCGGCCTGTCCTTCTAGGGGTCCTGTGGCTGGCCCCCCAAAGGACACTGCAGGGGGCAATTCTTGACTACATTCTGAGGTAGTCTAACCATGACTTGTGCAGGGGGAAGGAGGGTAGAAAAGTTGCCACAGAGAGAAAAGGCTAATGCGTATAATGAAACAAACGACACCACAAGTAGGCTCAGAGACGACCAGAGTGCGGCTTGGGGGCACGGTGGCCGGTGGCGGGGCCCTCACAGACCCAGGCACACACAGCGCTTGGTGCAGCCGTGTGAAAGGAGATGAGTGAATCCAAGGAAGGGTTTCCTGGTCCAGGGCAGTGGCACCTCTGAGGTGAGGGGTGTCCCTCCCACAGACACATGTCATGAAGGTTTCAGGCCAGAGAACTTGGGGGCTTTGGGGTGAAGAGTTCCAAGGTTCCTCACGGCGATGACTGCCCTCACCTAGTGAGTGTGAGAGAACTAATACCGGTGGACTTGAACTGGGAAAGAGCTAGAGGGCCCTTCTCTGAGGGAGCAGGCTGACCCTAAGCCACTACGGAAAGAGAAGTAACAAGAACCAAAAGCAAACAGGTTGCTAGACTTCCCTACTTTTTGACACTAATAGCCATTCTTTTCTCTTCTGCCCCAGCACTCAGAATTCTAAGTCAGGATGGAATGTTCTGAAGGTTTAGACGGCAGCAGCTGTGTGGACCTTAGTATTTTCTTTGCTTTCCACATTTCCGTGCACGACTTTTGGGAAGGAGCTCACCAAAGTCCTCAGTTTCATTTTCATAATCATCTTCCTGACCGATACCTATTTAAAAAGCAAAGAAACAAACAAACAAAAAAAAAAAGAAACAATATGCAGAATGGTGATTCTTTTTCCCCCCACTCCAATGCAAAATATAACATCCTAGTAAAACCAAATGTCTCTGTAATTGTTATTTTAAATTAAAGGGGAAAGGCCTTCCTTCTACCAGGTGCCAGAGAGGGAGGATTTTCTTCTCCAAGTACGGACGCTGCTCCCCGGGATAAGCCAAACCCAAAGTCAACGCTCTCCTGGAGGACTAAGCTCCTGCATGCTGCCTCCTCTGGCCCTATTTTAGAGGCCCTTCAAATGGAAGACATTAAATAAAACCTACACTCCACAACAGACCTGAGCTGATACGTCAGTTACCTTCTTTTTGAAACAATAACAAAAATCGTGGTCCCGGATTTTCCAGGATTTTTTATTGGCACAGACATTCGGGCCGAGTCCCCTCACGTTCCCCCCAGCTCCGGGGTCTGGGTGTTCCAACAGCGTTTGGATTAAAAGGACTCACAGGAGGACGACCTGGAGTGAGTGAGCTCCCAGGGTAAGGAGAAATGAAGTCAGGCAGGGAGGGGGCAGCAGCTGGGATGGGCCAGAGAAAGGACTTTGCAGATCAAATAGAAGTGGCAAGATAATTGTGTCAGGAGAGAAACCTGGGTCTTTCTGCACGAGGCTTTTGTGCTCTGTAGGAAGATGCATGCAAGTTGCCCCAAAGATCTTGTTTGTTTTGTTCACAAATTTGTTTTTATATCCTCAAGCCCAGAACAGTACTGATGCGTACTAAAAACTCAAGAAATAATCATTAGCTTACACTCAACCGTATTCATCGGAAAAGGGCTTTGCAATACTTGGTGTATCCATGGGGCGGGGGCGGGGACGTCACTGTTGTGAGCACGAGTAGTGGCCAAACATCACTGATAATAGCTCTTGAGTAGCGAAAGAGGTTTTATGAAAAAGCAAACAACACATGCCCAGAATAATGCCCTCCCAGTCAGATGGAGGACCTCAGATACTACGTGGTTATAATCTGACCGCAGGGCGAGGCTCCAAGCCAGGGCGCGGTCGCTACTGACCTGGTAGGCAGCCCCCCTTCAGACTGACCTGAATGTCAGCAGCACAAGCACCAGGGGACCCAGAGCACTGTCCTAGGCTAAAGGCCTCCTTACCGTCCTCCTTTAGGTGCAGTTCTGTTCTCTTCAGCCACTCCCTTGCTTCCTCAACTAACGGGGTCAGAATGCGGACAAGCCGGGCCATCACCTCCTCCGCTGTGGGAACCAAAGAACGAGGGCTGAGCGAAGGAGCCACTGTCGGGCCTCGAACGCCCAGGACTAGAGCCGAAGTCCCCACCTCCCAAGACCTTGCCTCTGTGCTTCCCCTGAGGACAGTGACAGGGTAAGGACCCACGGCCGCCCTCTGCCACCACCAGGAGCACAAACTACAGTGAAATGCTAGCCTGCCACCATGCCTGTGTGTCTGCAGAGAGCAAGCTTTTCAGGGAAGCTTTGTTCAAAGTGTCGTTAAACCTTAAATGGCAGTGACTGAATAATTATAGAATGATTTTAAAATATGCAATTTCCCTGATTTTATAGGTAACATAACTTCCACTGAGTGTTGCTAAGAAATAGCTAATCAGGAAGTGAGAGGAAATCTGATTCAAAGTCCACGTTAGAATTCTCATCATTGAAGGCTCAAGCTGGGTATGGTTCAAGGACCCCCCTAAAGGAAGAGACCAGCTATGCACCCTCAGATCTGAGTACAGGGTGTGTGCTCAAGCAACAACCACTGAATGAATCAGCAGCTTAAAGCGTTTCCTCAAGCCTTTAAACATTCTCCCAGTATCATCTGCATAGAACTAGTCAGCAAGCCCTTTTCTTGTCTCTTGTGCCAGGGCAAGTACCCTGGCCCAAGGTGATCAGGAAGCTTTAATTGGAGAAAAGGTGGTCCAAACCACTGGGCTTTGCTCTAGTTTGAGAACACATGGTCCTCACGTGTATTTTTGCAAATGCCAAGTTCCATGGCCACCAGTCAGACCTCAAACCGCACAGGATTTGACTTTGGCGTGTGTTCTCAAGGTCAGGCTCTCCCACCACCTGGGCCCCCGTTTCTAAGGGCCCCTTACCGCCAGCCCAGGCCTTCTGCCTGTAGAGATCCTCCACCGTATCCGAAACCTTCTTGATGTTCTCCTGGACCTTCCCCTGCAGCATGTGGCTGTGCTCTTTGGGGCCCCGGTGACTGCGAATCCAGACGCTCTGCTCGATGTCCTGCACCACCTGCTTGCCTTCAGCAATGGCCGGGTCCACGTTCTCGTGGAAAAATTCGAAGTACTTCTGGTAGGCCACTTGCTGCCTCTGGTGGCCTTCTAGGAGGACATGATGCTCGTAAGACTCGCTATTCCTCTCCTGATCTTCCTTGTCGTCCAGCTCCGCCCCGGAAAGAGCCACGGCCTCTGAAGCCTCTCCCTCAAAGGCTTCACTGGGGCTGAAATAGTTCTCAGGGCCTCGGGTGAACTTCACTCCACACAGGTCACACTGGGTCCGGTCGACGTCGGCCCTTTTGAAGATCCCGGTCCCAGGCTCCCTGGTCTCCTCCCTGAAGCACCCCGCCTGGGCACTCACCCATCTCCTCCAGCTGATGCACAGTGACACCACCAGGCATGCCCGCCTCAGCTTCCGCCGGATGGAAGCCTTCAGCTGCTTCTGGGACAGGATGGTGGCGAGGAGATGGTCTCGCTCTTCTGATGCCAGCTCCTCCATCTCATCCTGACCAAACTCACACTCTGGGTCGGAAAAGTAGTCCACGGGAGCCACACAGAGCAAGCGGTTTAGTTTGACCTCCTCGTGATACAGGCCGTGGACCCCTTTGTTGTGCCCGCTGTCCCACCACCAGCGGCAGTCCATCAGGAACTCTTCGTCCCGCTCAAAGAGCAGGTCCTGCAGTGCTTCAGCCACAGACTTCACGTCGGCTGCCACCAACACCCGCTTCACCACTTTCCGGAGCCTCTCGGGAACCCGGTCCGGGTATTCCGTGCTCATCAGCTGCAGCCTTGTCTCAATCCCCTGGAAGTGGTTGTATAGAAGAGGTTTGCAGAACGACAGCAGGACCACCTCCGCATTCACCAGCATCACCAAGCACAGCACCAGGGTCCGCTCCGCCTCGCCGGAGACCACATAGTCTATGTCCTCAAAGGCATCGAGCAGGACGTTGAAGTGCACATTCTCAGAGCCACATAGCACCTTGACGAGGTAGGAGAGGTGGAACTGGAAATCCTGAATGGCTCTTGTCACATCCTTCGGCTTGTATTCCTGAATGATGGAGAACACGTCTCTGAGCTGCTTGTCCTTCTTGCTGAACAGAAACTCCCAGTAGTGCAAGAGCGCAATGTAGCTCTTGGGGAGGCACAGGATGGCGTTCTTCCGGAGGCGGGCCAGGACCACCCCGCAGTGCACGAACTGGAACTCCAGCAGGGCCACTGTGTTTCCAATGCTGGGGATGAGCGGTTCTTTGCACCTCTTGACAAGGACGTTCATGAAACGGAAAAAGAACCTCTTGAAGTTTTCTGGGTTCCTGTACACGTAGAACTGGTTGATGCAATTCTCCAGCAGCCGGATGAAGCACACGTGGGTCTTCTCAGTACTCTCATCATCCTTGTTGGGCGCCAGCATGCCAAATTTCCCTTCTACTCCTTTCACCCTGCTGCCTCTCCCCCTGCCCCTTTCATCTTTTTCAGACGCTAGAGCTTTGAGTTCCCTATGGTAGCTCTCTTCCTCCTTGTGGAGCAGCTTTTCAAACTCCTCCGGGTAGCTGGAAGAGAGCAGGAAAGCCTGCATGGCGCTCAGCCACAGGTCTGTCGACTCCCGGCGGCTTCGTGCCCTTTCATTTTGAAAGAGAGAAGAGATGTACTCTTTCAGAGCACACCTGTAGGATCGGAAGGACTTGTAATTTGGTTTGAGGATTTCTTTGCATGCCACAGGGTTTTCTGACAACACTCGCTGATGGAAATGCTTAGGGAAGAGGACATTCAGGAAGGATCTGCAATGGCCATACACATCTGCAGACAAAATATTATCAATCCCTTCAAGTTCTTCAGCTAAGATTTTAGGGAATACTTTTTTGGCTTCCAAAAGCGACCCACTGATTGCCACTTGGTGCATTTTTGACTGAACCAAACACTTCGCCTCACAACGCCGCAGAGGTCTGTGGTAATCTTCACACTTTTCATCCTTACATTTTAAGCCAACAATGAACCTCATGCACATGCTGGGGTAGGTCTTCCCAAGCAGGCTTTGTGTGATCTGGCACAGCCTGCTCAAGAGGTGTTTGTTTAGGGCTAATTTCACTTGGTCGGTCATGATCAAGAAATGGTCTTTTGTCTTCTTCTCTTTCAAGTTCAAATCCAGGTCAAGAATTATTTTTAATATGGGCCCAGGGTCATTGTGAGCTATCTGGCAATACTTGGCATCCACTTGTGAAATCCCAAAAAACTCAAAGCAAGATTTGACCATATCCTTCTCTGCGTTGCTGGTTACTCTTTCGAGGGCCTTGACTAAATTGAGGAGGACCTCCAAGCCCCCCGAAGCCAGGGCCAGAACCTTCTGAGGGTCAGCCTCGCAATGGCTGGTGGCTTCATAGAGCGCTTCCACAACGCCCGCTGAGTGGTTGAGAGCATCAAACCTGATGAAGGCATCCTTGAGCTTCTGAAAGTCCTTCAGGATCACCCCCAGCAGAAACTGGGCCTCGGCAATGCCAGAAAGCTGCTTGGTTTGGCTGCAGAGTTCAAGGGCTTCTTCCAGAATGGCCTTGGTACGTTCTACATCTGAATCCCTGGCCACGTTGAGGCGAGCAGCCTCTAGCAGACACGAGGCCTGGAAGTTCTTGTCGGCAGTGAGCCTGGCAGCCTCCAGGAGGTGACCGCGTTGCTTCATCAGCAAGGCAGCCTCTTCCCTCCGACCTTCCCTCTTCAGCAGATCGGCGGCTTCTGCTAGTCGCTTCCGAGACTTCAGGAACACCAGCTGGTCGTCTATGTCTATCTTTGAGAGAACAGCCATCATCTCCTTGATCTTATTTGCACTCAGGTACTTTGCTGCAGCTTCTAAGTAAAACTGACTGGCTGAATAGGAGAGCTTGGCTATGGGAAGGGTCTTGGCCCTTAGCATTTCTTCATACCTGCAATGACAGATGACCCAAATGATAACTCATTATCATCCCGCCGACAGAATACTTCCTCCAAAGTAGAGCACAGAACAACTTAAATAAAATTCCCACCCACATGGAGACATAAATTACAAAATAGGGCCTCGACTTATGCAGCTTCTGTATCAATGCTTCATTTTACAATGATAAAATGAATTCTTTATTCTCCAAAGGAACCGAGCATTAGGGTGTTTAATCAGGGAAATATAGCAAGAGTTGCAACCTAGGCAAGTGAAAGGGAAGTTTGAAAGTCAGTCTCTTGAGCATACACACAGAACAATTATGCATAGTCGAAATTTCTCTTGAAGAATAAATACCTCCAATTTTCATAAAAGCATGAGCATCCTTTTGGGTATACAACAACCCTGTTTAGTTTGATATGTGCTTATTGAGAGAGGACACAGACGGGGGCTGCACGCACCAGCGATTACATTAGTCTTCCTCTGATTAGCTAGCCTGCGCTGTCTCTTTGTCAGGTCTGTATGGGGCTGAGTTAGTGCGACATTAATGAAGCTATGAAGGGCTCTCTTTTGCTCGGCTGATCAAAGCTGGTATATATCCCATACTGCCAACATTCAAGGCATGGGAACAATCCAATAAAACATGCTTACTTTCAAACTCTCACAAGACAAAATACACTTCCTCATGACCACAGAGGTGCCCAGGGACCTTATGGCACCCCAGGTTATCCTACAAACCAGATTTCCTAGTGTCGCAGGGCCCCAAAAAAGGGGTATAAATGAAGGTGAAGGAAGGCAATATACTTCTCGTGAGAGCAATGGTGGATGGGATAGAGAGTGTTTTTAGCAAGTTTAAGGAGCTGCCTAGGTATTTTCTTTTCAAATCTAAAATGTCCTCAATGTGTTTTGAGTCAGGCCATTGAGCAACTGAACTCCATCCATCATGCACGATGTTCAAAGAACACTCAGATAAACTTAGTGAGAGGTTCCAGTTACTCAGACAATGCTTAGATCTGAACTCAACACATCAATAAAAACTCAAGCCCTGGCTGGTATGGCTCAGTGGACTGCGCACCAGCTTGCGAACCAACAACTCAGTTGTGTAGCTCAATAAAGCTAAAAAAAAAATAAACAAGGTCATTAGAAATTGGAAAAAAAAATGTTTTGGGGGAAAAAAAATCTATGATTATTCAATGCCCTTCTGCAAAAGTGAGAACAGACGGTTAAATAAATAGTTGAAAGTATTAAAAAAAAAAAAACAACTCTCCATTGGTTTTGTCATACGAACTTCCAAGGGAATCAGCCTGGGCCATTGCTCACAACACCACTGCATAGCGCCCTGATAACTGGGTACCCAATAAATGTCACAGGCGGCACCCTGTTGTGCACTGACAGTTGGTGTCCCCCCAGATTCCTATGTGGAAGCCTGAATCCCCAGTGTGACTGTATTTGGAAACGGGGCCTCCAAGGAAGTAATAAAGATTAAATGAGGTCATAAGGGTGGAGTCCTGTGTGGATGGGATTCGTGTCCTTATAAGAGACGACGTGGAGAGTGGATGCACTCCCTCTCCTCCTCCCTCCATGGCTAAGCACCAAAGAAGAGGCACATCAGGACTTGGTGAGAAGGCAGTCATTTACAAGCCAGGAAGAGAGCTCTTATCAGTAAACCCATTTAGCCAGATCCTTGATCTTGGACTTCTAGCCTCCAAAACTATGAGAAAATACATTTCTCTTGTTTAAGCCACCCAATCTATGGCATTTGGTTATGGCGTTCTGAGCTGACTAATACACACTTGTTTTGCAGATCGTATTTGTAATGGCATCAAAGACCTACATCAAGGAATGTGCTCAGTTACCAGTCATGGCACTGGATACCTGCCTTTGCCATTTCCAAAAATAAAACTCAATTTCTTTATCCAGGTGTTGGTCATGCAAGTGTATTTATGGTGAAAATTGTGTGCACTTTTTTTGAATATAGGTTATACTTTAATAAAAGCAAACTTAAAAATTAAAATGTGAAGCTTGAATGTCTTTTATGGCCAGTTATGTTCATTTCATCACATGTATAATTTGTTACAAAGTAAAAAAGATACAGAACCAACCCATAGCCTACTACTTCTGGAACCTAGTAGGGGCTCAACCCCCTGCTGAGCAGAAATGCAGAATTACAGACTCTAATTCCATCTCGTACCACCAGGGAGATCTCCCCAGGGCATCAACCTCATATTGTTTCTAGATTTCTTGTCGACCTTGAACCCCTCCCATCTCCACTTTCCTTTGGAATATCAACCGGGCTAAAGGCTCAAGGAGGCCTCCACTAGGTCACATATGAAACAGATGTGTCCAACAGCTGAGGGTATGTACACATACATGTCATACACGTGTATGTGTATGTATATGGCTGAGCATCTGCCAGTAAATCACGATGAAGCAAGATCCTGACCACCCACTAATGCCCTTACCTTCATGTAGTCACCCATCAGTGGAATCGTCAATTCAGTAGGTAAAGGTGAGAGGACAGAACCATCGTTAAATGCAAAATTGCTGTGCGTTTCATATACACACTTGTAACATCTTCATCCCCTTCTCTTCCTGACACTGTGTCAAAGCTCATCAAGAGAGCAGAGAACAGAGAGTCCCGCTTTCAAGGAGCTCCTGACCCAGCATCGAGGTCACCACTCGAGTGGAAGAAGGGTGGCATAATTAAGCCACTATGGAAGAACAGGACAACAGCACCCGGAGAAGGCTGCCCCCAGAGAGCGGGGAACAGGAAGGGAGAGAATAAGAGCACCTACTTTTCCACGGCAACAGCAGCTTCCTCATAAAGCTCCTCTTGACAGTACATTTTGAGAGCTAGATCAAATTCCTGAATTTGCTCAAAGCATCTGAAAGCATCTTGATAGCATTGGCTTCGCTTATAGAAATTGGCGGCATCTTTTATCTAAAACAGAGTAAAAGTTTCCTCTTGTAGGATTCAGAACGTAACTCTTTATCTTAAAAATAAATCAACTTTCAATAATAAAGGATGATCCTATGTCTTGCTATTGGTTAGAATCCCGTGAAAAATGCTAAAACATAAGTAATGTGATGAAAAATAATTCTTTATAGGGAGAAAAATAAAGTTAAATCCAACCTCATACCATACACCATACACAAATTTAAGCTTCAAATAGGGTTAAAGCTCTAAATGTGAAAGCTATTGGAGGAAAATGTACGAGACTATGTTGTGACCTGAGAGGTAAAGTTCACTTCAACAAAATGAACTTCTGGGGAGAAACTGATGGATTTTATTACATCAAAAATGCTCAACAAAGGACACATGGGTAACAGAGAGAAGACATTAACACCTGAACAGCACCAACGGTCCTTTCTGTGGAGATGGAAATGCCCCATATCCGTGCTCTGCAATATGGCAGCCCATTGCCATGTGTGAACAGTGAGCACCTGAAACATGGCTAGTGCAACCAAGGAACTGACTTTTAAATTTCATTTAATTTTAATTAATTTTCATTGCCACATGTGGCTAGTGGCTACTAAACTAGGCAGGTTTAGAACATAAAATGGATTCCTGCAAACACACACACACACACACACACACACACACAAGACTAACACACAAAAGAAAACTACGCCAAGCATATAAACTGGCAGTTCAGTAGGGGAAGCTTAAATGATGAATAAATATATGAAAACACACGGCCTCACTAATAATCAGAGAAATGCAAATTAAAACCACAGTGAGATCCGTCCATCAGGTTCTCAAAAATCAGGAAATCAGTACCCAGAATGTGGGGCAGGTGGAACCCTGGGCACAAAGTGGCAGCAGTATCCTGGCAAGCTGCCACTTCCACTTAGTGATATTCAGTACATGCACCCCTGGGGCCAGCAGGCCCGTGTCTAGCACTACACCTCTCGGTCTCACACCGGACTAGAGCAGACGTGCTGCGCCACAGTGCTATGTGTGGCAGTCAGGACTTGGTGGCAACTTGGATGTCCACCACCAGGGAAATGGCTAAGTCAGATGCAGCAGGTGCCCGCTGTGGGGCACCATCAGCGACCAGAAGCCCAGCCAGATAGCACTGCGGCAGGAGGTGGAAAAAGTGAAAAAACAGAACAAGATGCTATTTAGATGAACTTAAAATATGATACATGTACAGAAATGCTACTCTTTGTTCTTCCTTTATGCCTGCATATGGGCACATATATTAAATGCATTGGGATGGTTGCCAATGAGAAGAGAATGGGAATGGACACCAGCTATCAAGAGGAAGAGGATGAACAAAACAAAATGCAAGGAGTGTGGCCTTGTACCAAGTTCATTGGTGGGTTTGCCATGAATAGAAGAGTATGTATATTCCACTCCTCATCCTCTCAGCCTTCCCATCAGTTAACCCTGTGTGCTTGGCTCCCCCCACATTTCCCAGATATGACCCCTCTACATGCAAACAAAGGCCATTCCCGACCGTGGACTCCAAGGCCCTACCTGATTTGTTCCTGCCCTGCCCCTTGCTCACTTTACCATTCCTACCTGCACTCTCTGCTCTGGCCAAATGGCTTCCTTGCTGTTCTTCAAACCAGGCCACATGCCCCCACCCTGTGGCCCACTGCCTGCCAGGATCCTGGGCCTGCTGAGCCCTCCAGCAAAGTCTCTGCCCCAAAGTCGGCTTCCCAACTGCGCCCTGTCTAAAACAGCAACACCTGACACCCTCTGCCCTCTCCCTAGCCCTCATCAGCACTGACATCTCCGGTACCACTGGCTTATCTATCATCTCTCCCACACCAGGAAGGGCCGCTCTGCGGGGGTGGAGGCCCTGCTCTCTTGCCTCCCGCCTGCCGAGCACCCACAGAGCCTGGCACATAGCGGGGGTCCATGGATTTGTTGAATATTTAACTTCATGGCTCTCCTTGCTGCACCTGAGGCCCAAAGAGAAAACAAAATCAAAATGAAGCAAAACAAAATCCATACGGCAGGCCCTCTGATAAAGCTCAGCTGGGTTTTATTTAACCAGACAAGCTACACCAGGGGCCAACATATACCCGAGATTGAGGTGTGAGGTTCTTCTCTGGCCAGAGCTCACTGACGGGGGAGCTCGTGGACCCACCTGCCACATCACTGAAACCCCATAACCAGCGCGCTAAGCACCCTGTCCCCTTCTCCTCAACAGTGCTGATTACTTGGGTGTGAGTGCAGGCCCAGGAGGTGCCAAGGGTGCAACCCAGGCGGAGAGTGAAGAGGGGGTGGCCCTCGGGGGCAGCTCCCCAGCAGGCCAGCTCTGTTCCACGGGGAGGTCCCCACTGCCACCCAGAGCACGGGCTGTGACAGGTTTCCAGGGAAACCAGTGCTGCTCTCCGGAGAAAGAGAGGGAGCAGGCGAGGCCGAGGGATCCCTGGAAGGAAATCTTACACCCCCACAGACCCTCAGTTCTCCCCACAGGCAGCGTGCACTGGGGGCTGGGAAGATTTGGAGGGGATTTGGCCTTAGGATTTTTACAAAGGCTGCTGCCAAGCTGGTCAATTTGAGTTTGATGGGATGACCCCAAGAGGCCTGAAGCTGGCTGAGGGTCGAATCCCCCTCCAGGGAGGGGTCTGAGCAAAAAAAAAAAAAACGCAGACTCTTTCCTGGGTGGGGCTTGGAGCTTCTAGAATGTACTGGTCAGGCCTGTGGAAGTGGAAGGGAAGAGGCACAGGGCGGCCTCCAACTCTGCAGGCACTGCAGTCCACAGGAAGGGAACGTGGGCGTGCCTACGGCCTTCTGGTCCTCCTGACCCCAGCCCACCCACCCCACTTTCAGAGGCAGAGCTTGGCAGGCTGGGGAAGGCAAGGCGAGCAGATATGGAAGGGGTCTCTGGCTCAGTCACGGCAGGCACTGGTAGGCAAAAAGGGGAAAGCAATGGACTTAGGCCTGTAGTTGTCACTGCTTGGGATCCAGGAGGTAGCATGAGAGGCTGGAGGGCAGGGGACTAAGGAACACGGAGAGACTGGAAACTGTTGTAGTTGCTGGAATCGTAGGACCCAAAACTGCCACCCACACTGAAATCTCTATCCCATCCCCATCTCCCACATCCTAAGCAGTCGCATCTCGTAACAAACACAGGGCAGGGCAGGCAGCATTGGGGCCACATTTCAAACCTCCCAGTAGGTCCCATCCCCACCCCACCTCACCCAATGCCTGGGGTGCTGTGAGGATCCAGGAGTTACTACATTTCACATAGAGGCATGGAAACCCACCACCCTACTGGAGGGTCTCAAAGCCCATCAGGAAGTGCAGCAGCCGCAGCTGGGCACTGCAGAACACAGCCTCTGAGACTCCCCGTGGTCAAGGACCAGGTGGTTTTACACGTCTAATCTATCACAACTGATACGTTAAAATGAGTCGTGGAATGTCCGGCACGGTGACTATAGTCTTGTATATTTGAAAGTTGCTAGAAGAGGAAATCCTGAAAGTAGTCATCACAAGAGAAAAAATTATAACTATGTGTGGTGATGATATTAAACTTATTGTGGTGGTCATCTCATAATATAGTCATACATCAAATCACTACGTTGTACACCTAAAACTAATACGATGTTGTACGTCAATTATAACTCAATAAAAAATAATCACTAAGAAAATCATCACCACTTGCATGTCACGGCAATGCTACATTGCTCTAAGAATGTCTAACTGCTTACTTTCAACTTCTGTGTTCATCTCGCTGGAGACAAGCAATAGTGGCCCCCAGCCGGCCTGCTGACCACTCTGCGGGTTGCTGTGCTCTAGTCTGGCTGCTCTGTCCGACAGAGCTTTCTGCAAGGATGGAATGTGCACTTGACCATGAGCACTTGAAATGTGGCTGGTGAGGTCAAGGAAATGAATTTTTAATTTTCTTCCATTTTAATTAATTTAATTTTAAATGAAATAGTCACATGGGGCTAGCGGCTGCCAGAGTGGTTGGTGCAGACCTAGAGCAATTACAGGGAACGCGGAAAAACCACCTGCAAATGCCAAGCCATTAACCTGGGCCAACCCCAGACCGGGAACACAGAGAAAGAGAAGGAGTATCCTGAAGTCCGTCTTCCCTTTGATTTGAACATTTGGCCTCCCTGTGCTTGACACTGGGTCTCAAATATTCCCACAGACCTGAACACACACACCACACACACAGAAAATCCATGGGTTTCTGGAGCTGCCTCAACTCTTGCACAAGTGGAAAAAGAAGGGCTCCCTAGAGTCAACAGGGCCAACCTCTCCCTCTTTGGGGGGCTGGAGCCCCGTTCCACAGCAAGAAGGGGCAGGGCCGCCCACCCCCAAATCTACCCAAGGGAAGCCCTGCTCTCCCAGGAGCAGCCGTGGGCCAGGCCGTACCTTCCCCAGCCTCTCGCACAGCTGAGCAGAGAGCTGGAACTCCTTGGCGTAGCTCAGACACTTAAGGGACAGCTTTGGCTCGTTGCATTCCAAGTAGGTCTTAGCCAGTTCCAAGTACTCCACCTGCTTGTCCCTGGGAGGAGGGAAACAACACAGAGTTTCCATGGGATGTTGACCTAACAGCCATGAATTTACCTGCTGATCTCATCAGCGCAAACCTGAAATGACCCGAGACTCTTACTTGGGGCTGACTTTCTTGGATTTCATGTTCAGGGCGGTGTTGTGGGCCAGCGCCAGTTTCTCCTTCTCAAGTGCACCTCCTTTTTGGTAACACTTGGCTGCAACCTGGAAGAGGCAAAAGGTTTTAATTTCCTGCAAGGCCGCGGAGGTGCTAGCAGCACGAGAGTTAGAGCATGCGTTCCGTGTGTGCCCACACAACACTGACTCTCACCGCGGCCGGCCTGAGAGGGAGGGCAGGGCAGTGCTGGTAAGCCAAGGAACCAGCCTCCAGGGGGGAAGCCCAATGGTGTTACCCGGCTAACACTTCACACACAGAGGTTCCTTCTGGACGTGCCCAGAAGCCATGGAAAGGGTACGTGATACATATTTTTACAGGCCACCGTAACAACACCCTCGGTTAATCTTCCAACAGCCATGCAGGAGGAAGTTAGAGCCTTCTCTTGTAAACAGTAGCAACTTCAGGTGAGAGGCGCCAAGTGACGGGCCCCAAGGCACCCAGTGGCTTTTCTGGGCTCACCACAGGTTCTCTCAGGTGTGGGGGCAACTACAGTGGCTAGTGGGCGGTGCTGGTGGAACAGCCTCAGGGCACTTACTGGGAGTGGCGGGGATAAAGACAGTAGCACAACACATCCCAGAAGATAACTGACCAGATCCTTGGGACATGCAGATCTGTGTGAACCAAACAGAAGGTGGGCAGAAAAGTGTCACAGGGCACTCAGCCTGCCGCCTGCCACCTGCCCCCTGCCCCTGAGGGCTGCTTTTCTTAAGCGGGAATGCTGACACCCTGTCTCCAAGCACAGGCTACAGAGGCAGAAAGTTGACCCTCTGCCCGGCATGAAGAAATGGGGCCCCAGTGTGGGCGAGGGAAGGGTTCAGTGGCACTTGCTGATAAAAGGGACAGGATCTCTTCCCCTCAGGCTCTTTGCTCAGCCTTCCCAGCCCCATGGACCTCCATTCACTCTGTCACCTGTGCCGTGCGCCTTCCCACCACAGGGCCTTTGCACATACTGTTCCTCTGATTGAACTGTCCTTCCACCTCTCTGCCTAGTTAAGTTCATTCATCCCACAGGTCTCAGCTCAACGCTCCCTTGCTTGAAGCACCTCTGCCTGTCCAGGACAGGTGGTTCCGGGGGGCAGCAGGTCTCTTACCTATGACACCTGCCCACAGCTGGGACAGCGTGCTCTTCTGTATGCCTGCCTTGTTCACCAGCATGTCCCCACAACCGAAACAGTGTCAGCCCCTAGCTTAATAGGAATCTGTTGAATGAATGGATCTCAAGCAGTTTCCCTTTGTACGGTGGTTCTGAAACATTCACTGACATGCAGCCAAAAACTCAATAAACCACCTGAGTCCTGAAGTCCTTTAGCAGAGTCAAAACAAAGTCAGGCGAGGAGAAGGCTTTTTATATCATTCTCATCTGGGCTGGCTCCCCTAAAAAGATTTTAGATGCACACGTTCAAAAGGCATTTTTAAAGGGATAAAGTGGAAATCCTTGGGCAACACATACAGGGAACACCAACAGTGTTCTGAAAGAATAAAGGGAAAAACTTCATCTAGTTTTCCAATTTATACTCATACCTGCTGCCTGTATTACCCCCCCCCTTCTCTGCCTACCCCCTCTCCAAAAAAAAAAAAAAAATCTTGGTTTTATAATAATAGCCAACCGTTCAACATTTCTTTGCCATTACAGTAAGGATGGGCGTGAATTAAAGTCTTGGGGCTGTGTCAACCTCTGCAGCTAAATACTACATATCTATGGAAATACTTCCCAGACACACCCAACAGGCAAGTTCTGTTTTCTTACCCATCGGGGTTGATTCAAGGGTGGCCACTGTCTTTCACGCCTCCCTGTACCTGGCCACGCTCCTTTACCGAATAACCCTGAACCTTCTCCCATCAAAAAGGCTACCTTTCCCCGCTCCATTCAGATCTGAGCTGTGACTTGCTCAGCCAGCAGAACACAGCGGGAGCAACGGTGGACCAGGCCAGGTCTCAAGAGGCCTTGCGCTCCTGCCACCCTCTCTGAATCCTGCTCAGGCATCATGTGAACAAGCCCAGGATAGCCTAGCCTGCTGGAGTGTGAGGGCATGTGATCTAGGAACCCCGTTCACCCCCCATCACCCAAGCCAAGAGGCAGCCAACCCCCAAAGCAACCCACTTGTCAACTGGCAGCTGAGTTCTGATGTGTGAGTCCCCCAGCTGAGACTTAACTATTCACCTGGACTCAGCTTTGCCAACCCACAGGACTGTGAGCTCCATAAGTGACTCATTTTAAGCCACTAAGTTTTGGGGTTGTTTGTCATGCAGAAAAGGTGAACCCCAGATATGAGTTACTTGCTGTAGACTTAAGTAAGCCCTGTCCCCTGCCACAGAAAACAAAACTTTCCTAAGATTAAGAATTAAGGATAACAGAACTCTTGGAATTCCCTCTCCAGACATGTCAGCTGGAAGACATCTGCAACAGTGGCTGTTGCATTCTCTGACTTGCATTCGCATTGCACTCATCGCTTCCAGTGCCTTCACTCGGGCCCAACTCTGAGGACTTCCAATGAAAAGAAGGATCATTAGCAGCATGACGAGCTCTTCGGGGAAATCACTGTCTCAAAACATTTGTTCAGGAGAACCAAGAGAAGCTGCAGGCACTTTTCCAGTAACACGGGAGGAGCTGGACCAGAGCCTAGCGTGAGCCCAGAGGCAAGGGACAGGAAGGTGCTCTGCCCACAACTCGGCTCCAGGTGGTGTTCCCTCAGGAAGCACTGCCGGCACCTGCAAGCGCGGGGAACGCCAGGTGCCTGGGGGAGTCAAATCTTAGCGAAACGTGCGTTTCTGAGTGGCCATGCCCATGGGGGTCAGTTACCCACAGCACCTGCTCCTCTCTTGTCTTACGGCAGAACCTGTGTGCCAGGTGGGGTTGCTCTCCCAGACTCCCTTACAGCCAAGCCTGGGCACATGACCTAGTAGTGACCAATGACATGCAAGGAGAAGACCACTGGGGACTTCTTGACAAAAAAAGAGACCCATGAGGGAAAAGTGCCTGCCCTTCCTTCCTGCCTGGGATGCTGCTGAGGGACATGAGATGGTTGGCCCTGCCACAGCCATCGTGCAGCCATGAGGGGGACACCTCTGACAAGCTGCAGATGACCCAGGGAAGAAGAGATGGAATGAGACTGGGCTCACGTTGACTTTGCTGTGCTGAAGGTGTCTGTGACCGGCAGGTGAAGAGATCACGGATGCTACATCGGGGCAGAAGACACGCGTGTCGTGGTGCCCCACCTGAGACCACATGATATGTGGGGATGCTGACTATGGGGGAAGAGGTGGGGTTCTTTGAGCGGGTTTCACTATTGTGAGAGGACGACCAGTGATAACAGTTCTGGAAGAAGACAGCTCAGGCTGACTAAGACGGCATGTGGCTGGAAACTAGTCAGCTCAGTCTAGTGACAAAGCTTAACCTATGCCCACCAGATTCAGATTGGCAGTGCAGTCTATGTCTGATCAACTTAAAAAAAAAAAAATAAGAGGATCAATCTGTTCCTGTTTTTAAAATGTCATAGGATGACAGCCAAGCTCCTAAGCGCAGAGCACAGGAGGGAAAGAAAATCACTGGCAGCGGTCCTCGGTGGGGCAAAGGCCTTCCCCTCTCATATCAGCACACGCTGGCACTTGGCCAAGCTGAAGGGTTGTCATGGCTGCACGGGGGAAGGGGCATGTCAGGGACCTCTCTGCATCGGGGGTGACCTGATGTTTCAGAAGAAGTGCCACAAGCAGCATGACCCTCGCCCTGCCCCGGTACAAACTCTGACGGTGGAAAACCTGCCCGCGAGGCCTGATGAGGCCACCAGTCAGAAGTCCTCGCCCCTGGCGCGCGGCCCAGCCCTTACCTTCCAGCACTGGTGTTTGGCATAGTAGTCCCCTTGCGCGATCCACTCCTCAGGGGTGGAGGTCTTAACGAACATGCTGTCATCAAAGTCTAAAATGGAAACGGAAGGTTAATTTGCTTCTCTGGGCATTTGTTCACTTAAACCTGCTGTTATGGGGTAAATTTTGTCCCCCTCCCTGCCCTCTGAAAATTTAAATGTTGAAGCCCAAACCCCTAGCACCTTAGACTGTGGCTGTGTTTGGAGAAAGGGCCCAAGGGGGCTGCTCTGGTGGGCCCTGATCAACCAGACTGGTTAACACATACACACAGAGACACCAGGGGCTCACACAGAGGACAGGCCATCTGAAGCCAAGGAGAGAGACCTCGGAAGAAGGCACACCTGCCGACAGCTTGATCTTGGACTCGCAGCCTTCAGAACTGCGAGAAAATGCATTTCTGTTGTGTAAGCCACCCAGCCCGAGGTGTTTGTTAGGGTGGCCGTAGCAAACCAATGCATCTGTGGTGTCTTTCTAGCACTCATTTAAAGATATATTACAGCAAACAACTAGAACAGGAAGAGAATCACAGAAATGGGGACCACATGGAGGGTTAGCAGCGGGGAGGGGGAGGGAGGAGAAAGGGGGAAAAGGTACAGGGGATAAGAAGCATAATTGGTAGATACAAAATAGACAGGGGGAGGTTAAGAACAGTATAGGAGATGGGGAAACCAAAGAACTTATATGTACGACTCATGGACATGAACTAAGGCGGGGGGAATGCTGGTGCGGGGGGGGGGGGGGGTGCAGGGCAGAGAGGAATAAAGGGGAGAAAAAAATGGGACAACTGTAATAGCATAGTCAATAAAATATACTTTAAAAAAAATATATAGCTTACCAGGCCAGGTTATTGTAGCTTTTGGAAGGAGGGTGTGGGGGGTTAGAAAAGATGCTGTTTGATTTTTGAACTTTGCTCTACCTTCCTTTTCTATGCTTATGAATTAGAAGACAGGTGGCATTTCTAATTCCTCCTTAAAAAATCCAAAGCCAGTAGCTTTTAGCAAACTCACTTGTCGGGGTCTTAGCAAGGGACAAGAAGACAGGATCTGACAGTGCTTCCAAATGTGCAGACTTCGCCCTCATCATAGTGAGCAATCTGACACTCCCGCTGGGGAACACAGACTATTATAACCACCTGCTGTCTGACCCACCTGTTATCCTCACTGGCCTGCTGGTGACTGTATCAGCTCCCCCTTCCCCAGCCCCCTGAGCATCACCAGCAGTGGGCGACCGTCTCTGAAGGATCTGAGCCCCAGCTTCATCAAGTACATGAATGACAGTTGACTACCAGACCAAGACTGACAGCCAAATCTGAGCTGAAGGGATCAGAGATACTCAGGATAATGGATATCAACCTGGGAGCAAGGCACACAGGCCAGCTTTGTTGAGAAGGTGCAAAAACACACGTTGGGCTGGCAGCCTGGCCCCTCCCTGCAGGCCCTGTGCCATGCTCTGCACTCAGCACCGTGTGCAAAGATGGCTTCACAGCATCTCGTTCTGACTCCATGTGTACTACTAGGGCCCTGGTGATATTTTATCCCCAAAGCAAAGTTCTGCTTTTCCTCAGCAAAGGGCCCGGGAACTTGGCCGGCACCGTGTTGAAGAATCCCAAATTGCATAGTTACTACATTCCTCTCAAGCTCTCCTGCACAGTGGGAATGTTCTCCAATACTTTACCGTGCGCAACTTGTAACACCGTTAAGACTATACTTTTCTTGTCTTCTTAATGCTACCAAGACAAAATAAATCGTAATCCTTTTTCATTTTAAAATTTACGAAGTGCCTACCCTGATAATCTCTTACCATAGATATGTGAACAGATTTTGAGACTAAAAGGCACGGGGGGAAGAGCAAGAGCCACCACGGGAGGCCAACCCCCTTGTTTTCCTTTTAGTTCAGGAAGTGAAAGCCCAGGGAGAGAAAGTGGGGTCTTAACAAGCTCATGGGCCTACACAGGTGGAGAATTCTAATAAGACGCTAGGTTAACCCCAAGCCTTCAACTTTTCCTGCCATACCACAACAGACAGGGCCCAAGAATAGGACATCTAAACCTGGTTCCCAACCAAGCCATTGGCCATTTTATGGAGAAACGGCCTCCATAAAACGGGCTGAAGCATGCTCGGGACACAGCAAACACCTCTGCACGGAAGCTGAGCCCTGCACTTTCCCTGCCCTTGGAGAAAGTAACTAAACCTGGAGGAGCCAACTCAGCCACTAACCCACAAGAGAGATGACAATTTTCCCCTTCATGAAGGGCTGATTATTTTTACCCTAGGTATCCTATCAGGAGAGCTTCACTCCATTTCTTTAATTAACTAGTCTTTGTAAATTATGAAAATACATGAAAATGTAGGAAAAAAATACTGCTAACAGCACAGAAGGGTATTAAAGTGGAAAGTAAAAGGCACCCACTCTCCACACCCACCAGACCTACCTAGTGCCAGAGGTGCCACTGTGACCAATTTCACATCGCAGGGCACGTAGGTCAATTTTAGTTTCTTATAATTACAAGCAGGGCTGTGATGAGCACTCGTTTCCATATATCTTTGAGAGTTTATATATAAGAATATCTCTAGATTCCTAGAGTGGAATTACTGGGTCAAAAAGTATGCTCATTCTTTATTTTAACAGATATTTCCTATCAGCTATGCAAAAGCCCACAGCAATTTGTATTCTCCTGGCTGAGCCTACCTCCTTCAACCCTTGACCATGGCCCTTACCACTGAAAAATAAATAAAAAGATCTATCCTAAAAGACTTAACCCCCCCCGATCGCATTGCAGCCACACTGTCCAGCACACGTTACTAATACATATGAACTCATTTCTCAGAAGACTAGAAAGAGACTTCAAAAACTATACCCTTTCACCCTGTCCATAAGAGCAATTGAGAGTAACATGCTTTTTATCCCACAGCTGGGAGATTTTAATGAGCTCTTACCTTTATTTTCATCTGTCTTCACAACTTGGACAAAGTTTCTTCTAATGAAGTATTTGAAAGCAGGGGCCCGCTTTTCCGGGTTTTCATCAAAGATCCAGAGGTTGGCGCGAGCCCGGGTGATGGCAGTGTAGAGCTGCTTCAGCTCTCCGTTGAGGAGCTGCAGGCAAGATGGAGGACAAGACAATGAGCCTCATGTCTGGAGTACAAGGTGAGACACCTCAACAGGCTGATTGTGATTTTGAAGAAATGTGGAAAGTAAATCATCGAGAAGTCTAGCGCAGGCCATGGAACTAGACACGGGGAGCGCACTGTGGCCTCAGCACAGGAGAGCAGAGCTCCAGTAGGGCGTACCCCATCCGCTCAGGACCACGCTTGGTTTTGCAGTAATTTTATCTTGCAAAATAATTATAGACTCATAGGAAGTTACAAAGGTAGTACAGGAGGTCCCATGTACCTTCCGCTCAGTTTACCCCAATGGTTGTATCATACACAATGACTGTAACTTATTTTTTAAAGTTAAACCAGTCCTCTACTTCTGCCAGAGCGCTAGTACTAAATTACGCATGACCTACCACATGATTGAGCACTGTGGCTATAGGGTGACTAAGACCTGGACACAGGGAGAGCCCACTTGATTAAGGAATGCACATTTCAAGAAAACAATGGATTTGTGGCTACTGAGAATTGTGCAAAGCTTAGCAGTGATTTAATTTCTATTTCCACAGAGCCTTGGAGGCATTTACAGAAATAACCTGAAAACTGTTATTCTGTTTGTTGTATGAGACATAAAACTAGGCTAGTACTTTCTCCTGAAGTGTTTGATTTTGCTGGTTCAATTTTCTGTGATGTTCACTCTCTGGAGTTCCCCATCAACCCTTCTTTGTCAGGAACTCCATAGAACGCTCCAGCTCTGGCCTCATCCTCAGTGACATAGCTGGGCTGTGAAGGGCAAGGAAAGTTGGCTCCAACAATCAAGGCTGCTGTGCAACAGTCTCCACTAAACGATAGCTCTGGGCTTCACGCCCGAGTTCCCCACCAGCAACATCAAAGTTTCTGGACAGAGCCGAGTTCCTGAGAGGAAGGAAAGGTACGACTCACTTTCAGACAGAGCCCCGCCCACCAAACCCAGCTCTCTGCTGAGCCAAGCGCATGCCTCCATCTTCAATCTCTTCTTATCAAGCCAGTTCACTGGCTCCCTCTCAAATAAGTATGAGAACAAAGGGCAGAAAATCACCTTGTGCATTTCCGGATTCACCACGAGGGGCCGACCCTGAGAGGAGCTAGGTTTCTCCAGGGGCACTTCGATCAGTGGCCGGTTTTCCTCTCTGGAGTCAGATGATGAAGGTGTAAATGAGGAAATGATCTTCCATTCCTTGTAAGCCTGAACAGCAATGACAAATTCAAGACCAACAGAATATGCTTTTGAACTCTACACACACAGCTTCCCTTGTCTCCTGGGGAACTGAGCCCCCCATTTCCTAGCCTGCGGACCAGGCCTTCAGCCCCAGCTATGAGGAGGGGGCCATCCAATGGCCTCAGGATGGTGGGACAGGACTCAGGATGCACAGGCAGGAATCAACAAAGCTTCCAGGAAAAATCCCCCAGAGACTTGGTCAAGACAGCTAAGAAGCCAGTAGGTGTGCGCGCTTCCAGGAGGAATGCTAAGGGCCCAAGGAGTTCTAGTTGACAGAGTTGCGACAAGCAGCAGAGAAAGGAGTCCAGCGTCATCTCCCCTTTCACTACATGCTTAAGAGATACCACTTTGGATCAGCTGCTAAAATACATGCCGCTGCCCAGGCTGGTGTGGCTCAGTGGACAGAGTGCCGGCCTATGAACCAAAGGGTAGCCAGTTCGATTCCCAGTCAGGGCACATGCCTGGATTGCAGGCTGGGTCCCCAGTAGGGGGTGCAAAAGGCAACGAAACATTGATGTTTCTCTCCCTCTTTCTTCCTCCCTTCTCCTCTGTCTAAAAATAATAAAATATTTAAAAAAAAATAAAAATAAAATACACGAAGCAGAATTTTCTAACTAAATTTTTCAACCAGGGATGGAAGAATATTCCAGAGCTGTAGGGTACACTGTGCAAGATAGACTCTGAGGTCAGACAGAACAAATTCATACCTCAGTTCTTTCACTTATCGGCTATGTGACCTTGGACAAATTATTTGTCTCTTCTAGGTCTCAGTTTTCTGCTCTATAAAATGGGGATGATAGAACGACCCATTTGCTGGGAAAATAAAAGATCATCAGTGTCAATTGTCTAATACTTGCCTGATAAATAGATAGTTTATATATTTTTCCCTTTGTCCAAACTCAAACCACAAAACCACACTGACTGTGGGCAAATTTTTTCTCTAAAGGGTCAGGTAATAAATATTTTTGGCTTTGTGGGTGCTATGGTCTCTCTTGCAACTGCTCAATTCTGCTATTGCGGTGCAAAAGTGGCCAAGGTCAATCTGGAAATGATTGGGTAGGCATGGTGTGTTCCAATAAAGTGCATTTTTCAAAACGAAAACTGGATTTAATATAATTTTCCTGTGCCACAGAATACTACTTTCCTTCTCACCTTTTTAAACTGTTTTAAAAATGTATAAACCATTCTTAGCCCACAGGCCATACAAAAATAGTCAGTGGTCTGGATTGGGGCCGTGGGGCCATGGTTTGCAGATTTGGTGAAACTAAACTGCCCAGATCACATGCAGTATTTACAGTCCAGAATTCTTATAAAATTTTAGATTTCATTCTTAACTGTGTCTTTTGAAAGTAGCTCACTAACCCTCCTAGATGTTACTTTTCTGTTCCTAAAACGGTGCTACTTGCCACCTATGTATCTTTTCAAGGAGGATGAAACAGTGGAGTGGATACCATCCATTATTCACATTACTCCATAACTTGAACTCTATAAATATTAGGTTAAATGTTTTAAACACTATCTATTAAATAAGAATGGTTATGCTAGGAATGCATTATGGAATTAATCACCAGATTCTGAAGAGAGATGTGCGTCATGTAGTCACTGTGAGTAGCTGGATGTTAAACATCTTCAGGGCATATTCTGAGGATCCCCTTTGTAAAGCTGTTTACACAACTGAATTGTTTGCCATGGAAAGCAGGCAAAAGACAAAAGTGCTTGCCAACTGAGGACCTCCTAGCAGACAGCACGAGGCGCAGAGTGTCTGGCCTTGGAAGGGCCAGTGAAGCCCAGTGTATTTTAGAACTGCTCAGCGAGAAAAAAGCTGCTCGTATAGCACACGACTAACTGTTTCCATAAATAAAACACATTGGACTTTCGAGACAAGGCCCTTTAGGAGTGAGCATGTGTATTTGTGACAAAGACACAAGAATACAGGCCTGCAGCTCTTCTGGCAATAAAGCAAGAAGCATTTAAAGCTTTCAGCGTCTATTGGGATTAATCGTTGTGGAGGAATAAGGCTCAGTTTCTACTGCAGGCCGCTACGGCTGTGGGGCCTGCTCTCGAGGTTAGTTAAGCAAACTGCAAAATTTGTGGTTTTCAAAGTCCTTCCTGTCCTGTCTGCACATGAGTGTGAAGGAAAGGACTCCCCACTGGGATGGGCTGGAAACGGCAGGCGCCCTTCCAAGTCCCCACAGGAGGAGAGTTTGGGGGTGACTGGGAGAATGACTGTCCCTCTCAAAAATGAGGCAAAATCCTCCAAGAGAAGGACTTGGTGTAACATTCCCTGGTTTCTGGCCCGTCTCAGAGACAGTCCTGGGGCCCTGTGGTTGAACAGTAAATCCTCTAGAGAGGACAATCACAAACCAGGGCAAGAAGAACGCCGCACCCCCCACGCACGCACGCACGCACGCACACATACTTGCACGCATGCGCACCCCAGTGACAGGCGCTGCGAAGAGAGGGCCCGCCAGAAACATAAACCTGAGCCGGGGTGGGGGTGGGGGGCGCTGGAGGAAGAGGCCAGGGATGGAGAGGAGCTCGCCACAGCTCCCCCACCTCAAATCGCAATCACTATTCAACAGCCTTCTGCCAGTCACCCCGAAAGAGGCCCCACAGGAGCAGCCAGCCCACAGGCCACCAGGAACTTATGCGATCCCTGTCTGTCCTCTGCTTTGATGAAAGCATTTCCTCTCGTTAGCTGACTGACGCTTTGGGGTCTTGAGGCTGTACATGACAGACTGAGGGCGGGCTTTGTACCGGGGACCCGTCAGGACACGGCCGGGGACCTTGGAGAGCACCACAGCAGAGGTCTTCCTATGAGTCTTACTGTGTCGATAGGAGGACGTGGATGTTGCCCAAAGATTCAATTTGGGATGGTTTTCATTTCGTGCAACTCACTGAGCCATTGGTGGGGACATAGGGTCAAGCCCTGCCCTTTCCAGGACTGAGGTGAGACAGTCACGGGATTATTTTTTTTTTCACAGAGGCGACCACAAGTTACAGATCCATAAATCCAGAGCTCCTTGAGCTTCTCACTGGCACAAGCATACAACGGGCACTTCATAAAGGACAGGAATAATGAAGTCTTACCCCTTCCTCTTTGGGAGAGCCTCGGTCCAACCATGACCAATGGATGTATTATGAGAAAAAACAGTTAGTCCTCAGAGATTAAAAGTGGTTCCAGGGTTAATGAGAGTGCATCTGATTTTATTAACAAAAATCAATAGAAAAGGAATGTACTTAAGGTGTGGCAATGATCAACTCATTGTGGAAGGTTCTGGAAGATGACTGGCATGCAGGGCTTTAAAAAGAAGCAAGTACAGTGGAATTTAGAACTCGAAGCATCAGAGTTCATTTTGGCTCTGCCACTTACATTATCACTACAGGCAATTTACTTAATTTCCATGACCCTCAGCCTTATCTCTAGAAAGAGGGTAATAAATATACAGACAATCTCAGAGAGTGGGGGAGGGTAAAGTGAGACAATGCATTCAAAAGGTATTTCATAAACTGTGAAGCACCCATAGCAATATTAGTCATAGGTATTATCAAGTCAAACATGACATTTTTTTCAAAGATCACAAAATAATAAGGACACACTGTAAAGGGTCAATTCCAGGGCAGATTTTAAGGTGTCAAAGCTAATGGTGCTCCCAACTTGGCTAAGAAAAACAGCCTCTTCAAGCATGCACCATGTGCAGTGGGAAGTCTACAACAGGGACCAGGGCACAGCCAGCTAAGTCGCCAAAGGAGACCCCACAGCACAGTCAGCAGCCAGCCTGAGTCCCCACCAAAAGACAGTGGTGAAGAGAAATCAGTGGTTAGAAAACCAGAGGACAATGGTCTTGAGTTCGTGGATCTTCCCATAATGCACTGAATTTGGGGAGAAAGACCATCAGGTCAAAGCAATGAGCTGACACAAGGCCTCTGGGGGTCAGTCTGGGGACACTTTTGCTGCCATTGTCTGCATGGGTGGCAAGCAGTGGTGGTGAAGCCATGCCAGAAGGGAGCTCCCAGGCAGGGCGGCTGTTCTCGTCCCCCGCATTACCTGATCCAGTGGGCAGGAGCCAGGCCTCATTTGTCTTTCCGGAGTGGTCTCTTTCTATGGACTGACCTTGCCCAGCTCTGTCCTCATTGGGCGGACACTGCTAACCTTGCCTTCATTTGTAAGGCTCTCCTTAGAGCTCACTCCAACTTGAGCATCCTTGGGAGTCAAGGATAACAGCAGCTAGTGAAAACCAGAAGCTGGCACTAGGGTACCAGGCATTTAGAAGAAGATGAATACAAGAGAACAGGGAAGGGCAGGGCACGGGGAGAACCAGCCCATGACCCACTGTGAGACAACCCACAGCCACTGTCAAAAACCACATCAAACACTCAAGCCCCACATGAAACAGACGATGCTCCCAAAACGGAACAGGCACCTGTGACAAACTCTCTTCTACTCAGTTCCAAATTATCTTTCCCGGAGTGGAAGTGTAACTCATACATATGCATGCGCTGTTGAAAAGAAGTCAGTACGACATACCTCAGAATCAGTAAAGAAGTTGTAAAGGAGGACATCATCGAATTCTAAGCCTTTTGCTTCATAAACTGTTAGCACAAGCGCTAACCCCAGCTCTTCTGGAATCTTCTCCTTTGCCATTTCATTGGCTACAAGGATCACCTAGCACAAGAAAAGGGAGGTGAACACACAATACAATATACAGATGATGTATTATAGAATTGTACACCAGAAACATATATAATTACATTAACCAATGCCATCCCAATAAATTCAATAAAATTGGTTTGCTTTTATTTTTTTTAAATGGAGATAGAAGAGAAGAAAACATCAAAAAATATGCAATGTGGTAAAGCTCAGTCCGTTTCTATAGGGGCAGGTAATTTTATTAAAGAGAGGTGGCCAGCCAGGCTAGTGGAAATATTAATAACAATTAGTTACTCCCCCATCACTGAAACTTACCCATTACGGGAGAAGGGCTATTGAATTCTTCCTTGTGGAATAATTTAGCCTCTCAAACCTTTTTTCAATTGCAAACTACCTTTTATTTTAAAACAAAGAATCCTAAGAAGCTCACCTGGTGCGCCCCAAATTCAATGGGCTGGGTTTTCCTCTTGTTCCCTCGTAGCAGAATTGCTAAGTCACTGACACTACAAGACTCCAGGACAGTTGGTTTGGGACCATCAAAGAGGCCTGAATCCCTTGGGAGACGATCAAAAGATTCTGGGAAATAGAACTGAAGTAAATCCACCACTCCTGATGCCAGATTGAGGATTCCTGGGATAAAACAGAAAACACACACACATACACACATACACACACACACATAGACCAAAACAAAAACAAAAACAAAAAACCAGAAAACACATGTCAGATACTGAACAACATGACAATTTGGCTTTCTTTTTTTTTCCTGAGAAGCAGTACTGGGCCTGGTCGTATGTATAATTGCAATCCAATTTCCAGTTCTCATAGGCTGTCACTTTGACCCTGAGCTGTATTATTCTAAGTACAGTGGATGAAGGCAGAGATGTGTTGCTGTGCTAAGAAGGTTCTGTGGGAGCTGATTCCTGACCTATACTCATAATAGAGAAAATTACCTCACAAAGAAGAGTCCGAGCAGAAATGCGATCTGAGCAATTAGAGCTGTGAGAATGCTAACATAGGGGGCTAGTATAGATAATAAGGAGAGACTTATCCTGTCCCCTCTCATTGGTGCTTAAGAGCACTGGAGACAATGTTGTCATGGTAACAGCAGGGCTGGATGTTAGCTGGGGCTGCAACCAAGGCCGCCACTGCCCTTTCCCAGCAGCTTTATATCCAGCTGCAAGTGGACTAGTCCGGAAAAAAAAAAAAAGGTCAGAGTTGGAGAACAGATTTTCTCAAGAGCCTTCTCCCTGGGTCCTCTATTTTGTCTAAGCTCTGCAGCAACACGGACAGTGATGCTGACCGAATACCACCATACAACAGGTGCCTTCGCAAAACCCTCCCATTTTATCCTCACGACTGCCCGGGGAGACAGACCAGATAATCCACCTTAACAAACTGGGGCTCTGAGGTCCGAGAAGTCAGTAGACACCTTCAAGTGACAGGACTGGAAGCTGGACTGAACACAGGTCATGCCAGGTCCCCCCAATCTTCTTCAGTGCGTGTGTCCTTTGCCTAACACCACAAAGAACGCTATATTCTTTGGCAGATGACTGTGAAATGGGCTTATATGTCCCCATGGATATTATCAAACAGTAAAGGGAAATTTTATTATCGATACTTATTAAAAGTATACAATATAAAGAAATTGTGAGCACAAGTGGAAATTGCTGACTCTAAGAAAATCAGCTGTTATTGTGGTTTCCTCTCCATTAAGAGATAGCAAGGGCCAGAGATTTATACTAATGAGGAAATGAGAAAACAGTACTGAAGCGTTCACTGTGGGGGAACACTGGAAACCACTTAAATGCCCATGTGAGAAACTAAATAATTTTTTTAATCCTCACCCAAGGATATGTCCACTGATTTTTTTAGAGAGAGAGAAAGGGGAGGGGGAGCGAGAGAGAGAAACATTGATGTGAAAGAGAAACATCAATTGGTTGCCTCCTGTACATACACCAAATGCAGATCAAACCTTCAACCTAGGTACGTGCCCTGAACAGGAACTGAACCTGCAACTTCTTGGTGTACAGGACAATACTCCAACCAACTGAGCCACCCGGCCCGGGCTAGATAAATAACATGGATGAGTCTTGAAAATGTTATTCTAAATGAAAGAGGTCCCACACAAAAGGCCACATATTGTAGGATTCCATTAACATGAAATGTCCAGAATGGGCAAACCCAAAAAGATGGAAAGTAGATTAGTGGTTCCCAGAGCAGGTGGGGGTAGGGGAGGGTGAGTGACAGCTCACGGGGATGGGGTTTCTTTATGGGGTAATAAAAATGTTGTGGAATTAGATAGTGGTGATGGTTGCACAACCTTGTGAATATATGTAAAACTACTAAATCGTACATTTTAAACAAGTGAATGTTATGCTATGGGAATCTCGATTTAAGCATAAAAGATGGGGGAAAATATTCACTAAACATAGTATATATTCACTACATAATCAATAAATACGTGATAAATGTACAAATGTATAAAAAGAAAAAAGACCAGAAGGAAATGAAACAAAATGTTAGTAGTAACAGCCTTACAGGTAGCTAAGTAATTTGTTAAAACAGTTACGTGTTTTCTCAAGTCTCTAAAATCTCGTACATGCTATTTGGGCTATTTCTGGTTCTGTTCATGGAAACATATACACAATCTTGCTTTCATCCTAAGAGAGGAGGTGGGAGATGGGATTCATGTAGTAATGGTCTGAGTAGATTCCTTAGCAAAACAAGCAAAAAAACAAAACAAAACAAAAACCTGTTCACAAGAACCACTTGCTTTGCCATGCTCCCTCTGGCTGATCTCAAAGGCTCCGGCCCCAGAGAGTTCTGCCGAACCAGGAACGCACATCAGAATGAGGAGCTCATTCAACTGCATGCCAGGTCCTGTCTAGCGGATGCAACAACGCAACAGGGGGCGCCACCACAGCCGGGTCCTCCCTACCAGAGGCAACATCGGGGGGTGCCATCGGAGCCACTCCCGGCACAGTGCCAGGAGGGCAGGGGCTCCATAGGTGTTTCCTAAGTGCATGAGGGAAGGACAAGGGCTAGTATTTCCTACTAAAAGCGTGAAGGACTTTGTGCCAACTCTTCCTGGACAATCATGTCCCAGGTGCAAGACCACAGAAGAGCAAGAAGCTGCGCTGCTCAGCCCCAGCCAGACCCTGTGGTTCACAGGCAACAGCAGAGAGGACGTTGGGCGCCCTGGGACGCTGGCCTGAGCTGGGGGGAGTCCGCTACACTCCGGGAGACCCCCTGGCTTCTAATCATTTCCTGAACCCTTGGCTACACAAATCAGAATTTTAATCTAATTTTTACAACGTGTGTGTATGAGTGTGTGTATGCACGTATGTGTACGAATGTGTATGTGCACATATATGTATGTATATGTATGTGGCACACATGCGTTTTCTCTTTCCATCAAACCAGTCTACTTGAAATGCATCTAGAAAATAGCACCTATCAAAAACCTACAATAAACATCACAATTCAAATGGTGAAATGTTAGAAATATTCCCATTAACTTCAGAAATAGCACACAAATATATGTTATTGCTTCTACTTAAGGTCCCACGTAGTAAACGAAAATTTTACTGATACTTATTAAAAGTATACAATATAGACAAATTGCAAGCACAAGCAGAAATTGCTGAATCTAAGAAAATCAATTGGAAAAAGAAATAGCAAGTATGTAAAAGAAGATAAAAACTGTTCTTATCTGCAGAAATATGCCAAAATCCAAAAAGGAGAATGTTCAACAAAATTGTTAGATACCAGATCAACATACAAGAACAAACAGCATTCTCCTATAGTATTAACGACGGATTACAAATAGTAAAAAAATTAGGGAAAAAAGGACAGTTTTGATAGTAACAAAACATGTAATGTACTGGGACAAATCTAACAGCTGTAAAAAATGTCTGCAGGGAATTATAAAATATTACTGAAGGCATTAAAAGAAGACCTGAATAGAGAAATAAGTCATGGCTCAAAAATCACAATTAGGTAAAAATGTGACTTCTTCCCAAAGCACAATAAATTCAATGAAATGCCAGTCCAAATGACAAAAAGCCATCAAACAAATTTGACAACCACCATAAACAGTGTGCTGTTAATAGCACAAGAACAGGCAAATCAAATAAAATAGTGAGCCCAGGAACAGACTCACGACATACAAAGCAATGGCATGACAAAGCAGAGGAACGGTGGGACCACGCAGTGGATCGCATCAGCACAACTGACTATACACAGAAAAAGGTGAGATTACCGTATTTTGCCACGTATAATGCGCACCCACATTTGTGGCCCAAACTTTCAGGAAAAATCTTTTGTTTTAATTTTTTAATTCATTTATGTACTTATATTTAGAAACAAAACTGATTATCATAGTCCAGGGTATTGTTTTGTATATGGATATTGTTATTGCTTTCTACAGTTACATTATTAATGTGTAAGCATAAATAAAAGAATTAAAAACATTTATATAGATATGGAATTAGTGCTAACCATGTATATAACACGCACCTTTATTTTTCCCCTCAAAAATTTGGGCAAGAAAGTGCGCATTATACGAGACAAAATACAGTAGGTTACAGAAGGGTTATGAAGTGCTAAGGCTGAGAAACCCTGAAATAACCTTATAATATTCTAGTAAGATCTTTTATGTCAGGACCCCTGAAATGGTGTAAATAAATGTAAAGTATGTGTTAGCTATGGACAGCTAACACTGAAACTTAGTTCATCCCAGAATTGAGTGTCACGGTAAATACCTGGCAGGAACCTAATGTCGATCTAATTGTGGTATAGTCACAAAATGGAAGACTAACAAGTTAAAAATGCATGGACTACAGGTCCACACTCTTGACATGCAGAAATCCGAACACATCATGTTAAACAGAAATACAAAGTTCCAAAAAGACGTGTCCGGCATGATCCCATTAAACATCATTTCTAAACATGTAAAATCATACTGCATATTACTCATGAACATACATAGGGCACAGGAGGTAACTTGTGAGCATTCTTTACACCATAAAGTAGTGTCCTAGCCTTGGTGTCACGTTATTTACACCTCTGTGCCTCACTTTCCTTCTCTGTAAAATGGGAATGATGCCTACTTTATGGGCTGAGGATAGAGCACAGGTACCAGACGAAAGCTGCCTGGCATCGTGCCTGGCACAGAGATGGGGTACAACGGAGGTACAAGTTCAAAGCACCTAAGTATGTGTTATCTCTACCACCTACTACTCCTGTTTTTTTTCTTTTTTTTGTGGCTTCCCCGTAAGAGAAAAGCTACTTAAAGGGTTAGCACCTTGTAATTCGTACATTACTTTACACTATGTAAGCAGGTGCTTCCAAAGGTTCTTTACGAAAAGTTGTCCAGCAGTTTAAACGTCCCCCTGAAATGATTTCATGCCATGGCAAACTCCCTAAGATATAATTCCCTAACGGTCCACTTCCACTCAACCACAGCTTGATCATCAACCTAAAAACAAGGAGTAGCAGAAATCCTGAGGCTGCTTTCTTGAGAATCTATTCACTTACTAAGAAATTCCAAAACACCGTCCTTACTGCAGCTACAAAAGCCTAACGTAAGCTGGGCCACAGTTTCAAAAGCAGCGCTAGGTCAGTTCCCAAGCACCTCTCCTGTAGGCGAGCCCAAGCCCTGGACATACCCGAATGGGACCTGTAGTTCTGGTACAACACATGGATCTTCTTGGGCTTCCGGACAGCACACTGCTTGTCCAAGGTGCTTTTGCTGGCATAGTGGAACAGAGAGCGCAGGTCACTGAAGCGGAAGGCCACGCCCTTCATGATGCTCTGGGCAGTGTCCCCAGTGAGGAACATGGCATTGGGGTCGTTGATGCATTTCATCAGCAGCGCGAGCTCGCCCTGGGTGAAGTCCTGAATTTCATCGCCATAGAGCTCATGGATGGACCACGGGAGCACCTTGAGCTTTGACAGCCTCCGGGACAGGTTGAACAGAACATCCTCTTCATCAAAATAACCTTTCTGAGACTTGATCTGCTGATACAGGCAGAAGAGGTTGTAGATTTCGCTCCGGTCTTCCTTGAAATTGGGGCACCGCTTCCTCCCTAATTTCTTATACTCTTCTTCTGTGAGTCTCCCCTGGGGGCTGCTGAGGGCCTCAAAAGATCCCTTCAAAAAAGATTTTATTTCTTTCCAAATCAGTGCAGGGTTGTAGGGGGTTTTCACTTTGTTCATTCTGGGCCATATTTCATTGGTGAACACCTCAAATGTCACAAACACCCGCGAGTCGATGTCGCCCAAACGCGTTTCCACAACTTTATCCTCCTCACCATTGTCCCCATCCGCCTCAGCCTCCTCTTCATCCTCTTGCCAATTGGGGATGGTCGACTCTTCCTGCGTGGACCATCCAACGATGGTTCTTTTTAAGCTGCCATCCTCATTTCTCAGGAAAAACGGTTTGGGCAGAGAAGCATCAAGTAGGAGGAGCAGCTGCTTGGAAGTGACAAACAGAGGAAAGTTCTCGTCCCTCAGGTCCTGGAGTTTGTGCACATTGGGTTCCAGTGGTTTGTAGTGACTGGTGGCCTTGGAGGACTTGGAAAGCTCAATGAAATTCCTCTGTACCTCCTGGCACAGGACGTGGTTCTTGGTCACGAAGATCTGGTGTAAATGCTCCAGCTGCTGGGGACAATCTGGGGCACATACTTCTGCTACTGGGCCTGGTCCCCCAGGCTCCCCGCTGGCTGCCCCGGCACAGGCTTCACTCTCCTGCTCCTCATCTATGCTGTCCGCCGTCTCGACTTCGATGGCACCTTCCTCTTCGTCATCCTCCTTCTCCTCCTCTTCCTCCCCACCTGGATTCTCCTTTCTGGATTCCATTTCCAACCTTCTCTTCAGCCAGATCTGTTTGGCCAGCAGCGGGCTTCCCGCCTGCTCGGCTTTTTCCCAGTAAATGTGGAATTTCTTCCACAGCCTGTACAAGCAGCAAGTTGTCTTCCCGGTGCCGCTCCGCCCGATCAGGATGATGGGCTCCAGCGGGCTGGGGTTGAGGTGGATCACGGCGTACTCGAGCTCGCCCACCCGGAAGGGGTACTCCACCATCGCTGTCATGTCGTTGAGGATGTTGAAGGCCATGTTCATGCTGAAGCTGTGGAACTTCATGATGCTGTACTCTGTCTGCACCGCGCTGGCTGGGGGGAAGTACTCGGGCTTCACGTGCTCCCTGCCCTTCTCCACCTCTGTGTCCTCCACGTAGCAGCGGGGTATCCGCTTTAGGATTTTCATGTTGGCCAACACCTGGTCTTTGTTGATACCCTTCAGCTTCTTCCGCAGGATGCAGGACAAGCCCCGGTTGTAGGCACTGCAGATGGCCCTGATGGAGTCTGACAGTTTCTTGTGATCTAAGACAATGTCCCAGATCCGGATGATTTCTGTATAGACCTGCCCTGACTTCGCCACGGAGTGGGAGTTCTGCTCCATGGCGATGATCTTTTCTGGGTTCTCGCTGCATCGCGGGGAGAAGTCGATGGCGAGCTCCCACAGCATCCGGGCTCCTTTGTCCAGCTTGGCTTCGAAGAGCTGGATGTTTCCTTTCAGGTTCTTCAGCCGCTTCTGCAGGCCCCCGTTCCACTCGCCGTTCCCCAGCTGATGGATGGTCAGGATGATTTTCTTCTTCATGACCTTAGTCATCACCTTACTGGACAGCTTCTTCAGCACTTCTGAAGTACACTCAATCTCCCACGTCATGTTCTCAAAGTCCTGGAGGCAGGCCTCCACCTGCTGCTGGTTGTCTTGATCGCCGCTGTCCTCCTGGCCTCTGTGACCAGCAGGAATGAGTTGTGAGGTCCCAAGGCCCGCCTGAGCGTGCTCACTCCCTGCCTCAAGGACAGCAGGGTTGTTCTCAGTACGGCCAGAGCCCCCCACTCCCAGGGCTCGCTGGAGCTTGTCCTTCTTCGCTTCTGTGCCAGTTCCTGTCTCCAGAGGCTTGGAATCCTGAGGACAGTCCTCTGGGAGCGGAGTACCCAATTCAACCCGCTCAATGAGACCCCTGATTTTCTGCACAAGGTGGTCTCTGTGCGAGCAGGGCCTGACCGCGCCTGGCTCCTGCCTTGGCATCTGGGCATTCGGGAGAGTCTCCCAGCTCTCTAGGACCACAGCTCCTTCAGGAAGGCACTTGTCTGTGCTACTACATGGCAGCAACTTGGACAAAACCTGGGACTTGAGCTGAGATGTGTGGCCAGGGGTGGCGGCAGGCCTTGGGAGCTTCCCTGGGTGGGCTGAGGGGTCCTGCCGGTTCCTCCGCCGGTTCTCTGACACAGCTTTGTTCCAGGCCAAAAGCAGAGCATCATTCTTCTTAATCCGGTGCCGCACGTCTTTGCCTTCTTTGTTCTTCAGGTTGAAGTTGATGTCAAACTTGGCCAGCAGGTCTAGCAGCTTCTTCATGCGCTTCAGCATGCCCCTCTGGAAGAGGATGTGCATCAGCGTGTTCCCGTTGTTGTCCTGGGTATTGGGGTTGAGGTAGTCAAATTCGGTGGGGTTGGACCAGAAGAGATCCAACAGGTGGTTGAGGAAGTTAAAACCAATGTCAGCTGAAAGACACAAACAAAACTCTGTGAATGCTGAGTGGCTCTTCTCTGGAACAGAAGCCCCTGGACTTAAGAGAGATACCAGCCAGAAGCACCTCAGAACACCTAACTCCCCTAAATATTTGAGAACCCTGTAGTTCTCAGCTGGAGGCAATTTGCTCCCCAAGAGGCATCTGACAATGTCTGGGGACATTTTTGATTATCACAATTTGAGAGGTGCTACTGGCATCCAGTCTGGGTGGGCAAAGAGCGGGGGTCAGAGATGCTGCTGAAGATCCGACAGGGCACAGCTTGGCCCAGCCCACAAAGAACGATTGAGACCAAACGTCAACAGTGCTAAGGCTGAGAAACCCTGAGATAACCTTTATAATATTGTAGTAAGATCCTTTATCTCAGGACCCTTGAAAATGGCATACATAAATAGAAACTATTTGTTAGCTATGGGCAACCAACTTTGAAACTTAATCCTCCTCAGTCAACCCACCCTGATCATTCGCCATGATGGTCATGCCTTCCCATCAAGCTATGGGCAGGCTGTGCCAAGAGTGGGCTTTTTCCAGGTCATTGGTTTTCCCAAGAGAAAGAAATGAAAAACAAAAAAGCACAGAATCAGTTCTAATATCCAGCCTCCTCCTCAAGGCAGAGACCCATTAAGAAACAGAGGCCTACCATTGACATCTAAAAAGATGTGGAGTGCCGCATGCAAGGGAGTATCGCCTTCCGTGAGAGAAATGCTGTGGGGGTCTGCACCCTTGGTCAGGAGAAGAAAAGCCAACTCGAAGTCCTCGTGTTTCAGGCACATGACAAGTGGCCTCTCGTGGCTGCCGTGGAGACCCTCCGGCGAGGCTGCGGGAGGCAGAGGGGAAGGGCGACCGTGAGCTGCATTCACCTGACGAGGCACAGCCTGGCTCCCCGGGGAGGGCAGGGCCGCCTCCGCCATTTATTCCAAGGGAAGAGCTGACGCCCACCTGACTTCTGAGGCCCCCCTACCACCTCCGGGGAGGGAAAGGCTTCCCAGCACCCCCGGAGTGAAAGCCCGGCTCCTTCAAGTGCCCTGTCCATGGGACTGGCCTCTGCCACCTCTCTAGCCCCCACTGTTGTCCCACCACAGGACCCCGGACCCCAGCATTAGCGCAGCTGGGGAGGAGGGACGGGGCCTGCAAACAGCGAAGACACTGGTCTGACAGCGTGCGCACCACACAGTCGGTGAACAGGACATAGGTATTACTTTCTACATCCTTTGTTTCTACAAGGCTTCTTCCCAAGAATGCTCATCTACTGTCAACTGCCACCTTCCTTGTCACCTCTCCAGCCCCCGCATACCTTCCTTTAGCTCAGTCCATGCCTCTGCACTGCAGGCCCCCCAGCCTCCACCCGCTGCGGACCCGCAGCCCTCCTGCACGTGCCTCTGCAGCCGTGCATTCACTCCCTGTCCTTGGTCCTCAGCACCCGATCCCAGGGAGGTGCTTGTAAGCACTTGGGGAATCAGGAATAAAACTGGAACCCCACGGTAGCTGTGGTTTCTGGGCAAAGGGAGTAACGCATCCTGCAAGGAACAGGTTTGAAGAAATAAACTATAGGAGGCATTCATTCTATCCACCTCCTGAAACCTGTGGGAAGAACCAATCAATGCCTGTGGGCTTCAGGTGGCACTTTGAGAGCTGAGGACCAATGTGTCATCACTCCCCTTAAATGGCAAAGCAAGCAGAACCCCAAAAGCCACGGTGCTCTTCTAAGAACCATTACGTGAACTGACCTAACATTCAAAACATCCCTAAGAAAGAGGGACTCCCGCCATTCCCATTTTATACATGAGGAGATGAAGGCACAAACAGCACACCCAAGGCCACACAGCTGGCAATGGCGTTAGTCGGGGCGGGACGGGGGAGCAAGAGGAGGCCGGTGTTTCCAAATTCATTTTAAAATAAAACCCAGTCCAGCAAGATGTCTGCACACCCCAGACATACATCCAGCCAAGTGCGACTGCACTGATTAAAGCGGCAGTTGTTTCCACCCACCGATTATTTGACTGTTTCTTTAAAAACAAGCATCTCAGATCCCAATGTGTTGATTAGAAAAGAATGCCACAGAGTCGACAAGGATCCACACAGCATATGCCAAGGAGGGAAAAGTCCAGCCAGAGGCCAGGAGGAAGGGGCCGCTGGGGGCTGAGGCAGGGCCAAGGGCCCCCTCCACGTACCTGAGGCTCCTCACACAAGAGAGAAAGAGAAGACAACCGCGGTTACCATAATTCACAGAAATGTAGCGCTCCTACAGGACAACACCCAGGGACAGGCCTCACTGTTTCCAAGTGAGAAGATGCAGAGGAGGAGAAGGAAGCAGAATTTAAAGGAGTCTTGAAAATCAAGCGTAAGGCCCCATGACAGGCAGCGGCTCACGCGCCCGGGGGAGGAACCCGCCAGGGCTTGGCACCTCGGCATTCTCACCTCCACCGTCTATCAGGCGGCCCAGGAGCTGCGTCCTGCGCTGGTCCCAGGTGCTGAGCTGGGGGATGACGGTGCAGAGGTCAAGGTCCGAGAAGTTGCAGTCTTTGATGAGGCAGTCTCCGAGCGGGGGCTCCCCGCTTACCTTGCGGGTCAGTAGCAGCAGCACTTCAGGCCATTTCTGTTTTTCCAGTAAAAACTTGATGAAGGTGTTGGCACAGTCGCGATTAATGTCACAGACCAGGTCAGGAGGAATTTCTTTCAAAAAGAAGAGTACACCACACTCCAAAATAAGGTTCATATGGTTTCTGTCCCTAACTACAACTTAACACATACATGTATAATTAACTCAAGTTACTGATCAGTAGTTTTAAGCCCTGGAGGAACTAAAAACAAGTAATACATTACTTTGACAGGCTACTTAATCACTGGCAAAGCTTCTTGGGAAGATCAGAAAACTACCCTAAGGCGAGCAGAGTCTGGTCAAGGAAGAAAGCAGGACTTTGATTGTGTCTTAAGGAAGAATACTTGTGTTAGGACAGTCTATTGAGATCAAAGAGGCTTAAATTTTGCATAATATAGTTTGTCCTGCTGAAGAAACACAAATATAGGGAGATACTAGAAAATAATTAAAAAGCCAAGAGTTACAGGGTAAATGGTGAGAGGACAGTTTAACTCTCTATTTTTAACTTTGTATCCTGAGGTATAAGCGTTTCCATCTGATCTCCAATGTCTAGGGACAGGGAAATGGTTTTTTCAGTTGGTGATGCTGGTGTATCTTAAGTGCGGAAAACTTTTAAAGAGACCCATAGCCAAGTAAATTGCCAGATTTCACAAATAAAAATATAGGATGCCAGTTAACTTTGAATTTCAGATAAACAAGTAAATTTTCAGCATTAGTATGTCTCATGCAATATTTGAGACAGAAGTAAACTAAAAATATATTCATTGTTTACCTGACATTATAAATCAGCTGGCATTCTATATTTTGTCCAGCAATCCTATCAGTAAGAAAAGCAGGAAGAGCAGGGAAAAAAACCAGGTTACCTAAATGAGATCAATTTGATGTGCATTTGCTAGATTTTGCTTCTCACCTTCTTCTAAGTTTTCTAAAATGAATAATCATTTTATTATTTAAAAGAGTCATTTGAAAACAAGAAAAAAATTTCAGTCCAGGCTATCCTATCATCTTAACAGGAATCAGCAAAATAAAAGTGTAAAATACAAACTTTTATAACCGACAATTGCAATTGCTGTGCCCTGTGATCTACGCTCTCATCGTCGGGTAAAAGTGCCCTCCCGCCACCAGCCCTCTCCACTCCACGTGGCAGAGACGCGGCAGCACGGGATCTGGGTCTGAGCCAGTCGGGACTCTCCATCCCCCTGACCACAGGCGTGGGCTCAGAGGCACACACTGTGACCAAAAGTGAAGGACTTCCGTTCAGACAACTTGGAGAGAGCTGAGTCCATGGGTCCAGAAGCTCTGTGGTGAGACACCTGGATCTTGTCCCCACAGAGTCTGAGAGGGAAGCCCACCCGAGCACAGCTGGGCTGAAGGATGGGCGATCCTGGGTCCTGTTGATGTTGGTTAGATCCCTGAGGACAGCTGTACCTGAAGCCAGCCTCGTGTTCCTCTTATGACGGTCAAAATGTCACTTTTTTGCTGGCGTAAGCCAGTTTGAGTCTGCCTGCCACTTCCAACAGAAACAGTTCTGTATATCCTATCCTGCAGCAATTAAGCAGACAAAGAAGAGAATGGGGGAAAGTAAAGAGAGAAAGATATTCAAAAGAGTGGAATGGATTAGAGATACTAGAATAGAGCGGAGGGAAGACCTTCAGGAAAGATAGGAAGAGTAAGGAACAGAAAGAAACAGACAGACAGAGGGACCCAGCCAGCATGAGAGAAAAGAGGAACCACACCAACAGATGCATTCCCCACAGAGAAACAGAAAACATGGAGCACAGACCACGGGCATGAAGCACAGGCAAGTAGCAGCATCCTCATCTTGTGGCCTCTTAGAGGTGTTTACCAAGCACCAAGAGTTTACACTCACAACCCTAAATATAAATAGGGGCAGTCTTCACAGGTCACGGTTGGAGGATATCAAGTCCAAAAGCCAAACGCTCCCGAGACATAGTTGCACAGAATGGCTTTGGTCTACTCGGTCCTACACAAGGTGGCCCTGTCCCAGAGCCTCTGGTGTGCTATTTATCTGGGACCCACTTGTATCCAAGAAAGAAAGATCATTCTGGCAACCTTGCCTCCCCTCTACCCAATCTGCATTTTATGTGCAAGATACTGGACTAAGTGCTCGATGACCATCATCTCATGAGGGTAATGCCCCAGCCAAGGCAGAGAGAAAGGAACTGAAGTGCAAAGAAGTTAAGTAATTGGCCCATGGTCACAGATCTGGTAAGTGGCAAAGATTCAAAATTCCAAGCCTTAAACACTAAGACCTGCTGCAACACCCTAAAGAGCATTTTGGGTCCTCTGGCCATGTCTTCCTGTGTTTTCCGTAAAAGTGAGAAATCTCAGCCCTTTGAATAGTCCACGTGAATGCTTTATGGCCCATGCTGACTGCCAATCTTAAATGCTAAATTTCACCTACTTAGGATTTCTAGAATTATCCTTAATTATCTAAGGTCTGTCATCTAACGTTCTTTTCTGGAACTTCCCTGATTCCCCCATAGTGAAAAAACATTAAAATAAATACTCAATTCTGTAACAACTGTATGCCCCAACATTAGCCAATATCTATAGAAGAGAGAAACATCTGCGGTCTTCTCGAAAAGGATAATCTAATAAGCAAAGAGTAATTCTAGGAGGATACATGAAAAATGAGTAATGGAGTTGCCTCGGGGATGGGACTTAGGGACTGAAGTTCACAGGTAGATGACAGACTTTTCACTCATAGATAATTTATGTTCTGTGCTGACTGAATGTTTTACATGCAGATCATTACATCTTTAAAACCATTTCTAAAAGATATTAAACAAGAGTTTTAATAAGCATATAAACCACCTTTCCCACAATTGAATTTGAGGAAAATTACCTTGCAGAGAAGAAAGGAGGCGCAAGAACCTCTGAACTACGTCTTGCTTCAGAAAGTTTTTATGCAATAACCGGTTTCCTGAGTTCATGTACTTCACCAGCTGCGCAGAGGCCTTGCGGAAAACGTCACTCTCACTAACGGGTCCATTGCCATTGCTCAGTCCTGCAAAACAACACCAGGTGATGCTCCTGAATACAGTAGTCACAGCTGTGGGAGACTGCAAAAGTTACCATTCTCCACCACTCCAAGCACCCACACGCTTTGCCATGTGACGTTGCAGCTGCTCCCATCAAGAGGTGGAGCCCATTCCCCTCCCCACCCTTGATTCCGGCCTGGCTTCGTGATGAGCTATGACCAATAGAGTGCGGTGGATGTGATTTTTGTGCCGGATCTGAGCCTAGGCCTCAAGAGGCCTTGTTTATTTCTATGTGCTCCCTTGGAGCCCTGCGCTTTGCCAAGCAAACGGGTCCAGACTGGTGGAGCATAGAACAGAGAGGAATCAGCCCCGTTGTCCCAGCTGAGGCCCCACAAACGTAAAAGAGCCCAGCCAAGATCAGCAAGACTGCAGATACTTGAAGGAGTTCAGTTAAGGCTGTGAGAACAGCCCCTCCTAAACCGCTGATCTGCAGGACTGTGAGCTAAACACACGGTTAATGTTTTAAGTCACTATGTTGCATGCTGGTCTCGTACGTAGCAGTGGGTAGCTGATATAACCGTTCGGGAAAGTGACGGAAGGAGGGTGGCTTAGTGCAACGGCAACGTCCATCCACAGCAGCCCCTCCTTATCTGCGAGTTCACTTTCCACAGTTTGTTACCCACCGTCAACCATGATCTAAAATATTAGATGGAAAGTTCCAGAAACAAACAGTTCACAAGTTTCACATTGCACACTGCTCTGAGTAGCATGATGAAACCTCCCACCGCCTGCTCCCTCCACCAGCGACTGAATCCTCTCTCTGTCCAGCGTCTCCACGTGTACGTGCCTCCTGCCCGGCACTTACTTAGCAGCCGTCTCCGTTTCAAAGAGACAGAGTGGTCACAGTTACGTAACTGTTATTACAGTATATTTTTATAATTGTGCTTTTTAAATTATTATTGTTAATCTCTTACTTGCCTAACTTAAAAGTTAAACTTAATCAGAGGTATGTAAGTATAGGGGGAAAAAAAACCCCAGTATAATAGGATTTGCTCTTATCCGTGGTTTCAGGCATCCACTGGGGTCTTGGAAGGTACCCTCTGCAGGTAAACGGGGACTGCTAAACATGGCAGCCAGCCACGTGTCTTACCGGCAAGCAGAAAAAGCCAAGAGTAAGGAGCCATCTCTCTGGCCAAAGAAGGGAAGATAGTATCTCCTTGGTTCAATTTGTTTGAGAAAGTAGTTATGACTAGAAAACACCCACTGATGGAACGTTGAAAAAAAGGAAATATTATTGGATATCAGATTCTACACTCAAAAGGCACCCTTGGTTTCAATGGAGCCTTGCTGAACAGCAAGGGGAGCAGAACTGGACATCTGTTTTCACACCAAGTGAAAGGACCTGGCCCACGACACAGACACCATCATGCTGTGAAGAGATCGACAAATGTTCAGTGTCATGTTCTAACAGAGGGGAAAAAATATCCTATCTTCAGTCCGGTATCCAGCAGCAGACCCTGAGGGCAGGGCTGATGTGCTTGGAGTTTATTAAGGAGGATGCCAGAGAGGGAGTAGGGGACAGGGAGCCAGGCCAGCGTCTGAGCTCAGGCCAAGTCGCACAGAGGGTGGCCTCTCCGGATCCCACAGAGGAGTCCTGGAGTGAGAGACCCCTGACAGCTGTCCCCATCCAAGGCCAGGAAAATGAGCTTTCAAATTCTCACATTTATCTGTCACTGGTTACAAGCGACTGGGGGAGGATGTAAATTCCTAGGCTGTTAAGAACAAGCCTCAGGTACTAGCTTTTCAGGGTGAAGGCCCAGCCACGTCAGGGAGCACACAACAGTAAAAGTGGAACCATGCAAGGAGAACTCTGACATTATTTGCTGTACCTTCTGATACACAGCTGGATCGCCTTTAATAAATCAAATCAGAATACCAGAATCTCTCTCTCTCACACACACACCCCCCGCTCCCCGCTTCCAGGGCAAATGCCCATTGCCTTCTCATCCAGAGGCTTCAGGTGCCAGACAGAACGAGACCCACCCTAGCACTATCCTCTAGAGAAAAAGAAATGGAAACCATTTGGCAAAGGAAGACCTCCAAACCCTAAGCTAGAAGAGCACTCTGAGATAGAAAATGTCTGTGTGGTGTACCTGTGACTAACAGTCCTGAGCTTGACCCTCACCTTCATCCTGAAATACCCAGGAAGATACAGAAAACTGGAAACTCACAATACAGAAAAATAGGGCCCTTGGTAAAGGAGGCACTCCCTTCGCTATCAGGCAGATGGAACCGGCCGCCCTGACTCTTGCCATGACAAGGTTTTGGGAAACATCATTCTTCTACCAGGGGAATTCGTTTAGTGTAAAAGTCCCCTGAAATTGAACAGAAATATACTAAGCTTGGCCACAGAGATAATCAGATGCAGCTGTATAATAAATGCAGGCTTGTGTGGTTAAGAAGGTGGTTATGGGTCAGAGAAAGCTCCAGATGTCAGGAAAGAAGCTAGAGAAAGATGCTGACACTATAAAAATGCATAAAAGGAACGGTGCTAAAACACTGGCAATGTATCCCTGGCTGGGTGTGGGAACATGTTTATTACTCTGAACTTGCCTAGATTTTTGAAATTTTTCTATAAGCTTAGTAAGAGACAAAAGAAACACCAGGATATCAAGTAGTTTATACATTATAATCACATATTTTTTTTAAAAAAGGTGACTATGTAAATACTAAGCAACAACAACAAATAGACTGGATGAAAATATGCCAGACTGTGATTACAATAATTTTTGTTTTTATGTAAAACTGTATTTTTACAATGATCATGTTTAGTAGATATATATGAGCAGATTTGAAATTAAAAATTAAAACTAAAAGGGACCTTCTAAAGTTGCAACAGTGCTCAGACATGTTACAAAACAGAAATAAATCATTTCAAAAAGTGATTTTATTTTTGCCTGAAATACTTCTTCCAAGCTAAAAATGACAAAACTGGCAAGTTTTATCACACAAACTGGTACCTTTTATTACACACATTTTATCAACTTAAACGTATGTCACTATCCCATTTTTATAAAAGAAAATATGAAAACATACAACTATAAATGCATGAAATGAGACTAAATAACCAAATCACAAATATATTTGCAAGGGTAGGTGAGTTCATGGAGAACTAATATTTTTCTATTTTCCTCTCCAATTTTGTAAATTTTCTTTAAAAAAAAGAGCATATTGTTTTTATAATAATAAGAACTGGACACCCCTTGAGTAAATAACTGCATGGCAGCATTTACTGAAACCAGGGCAGCGTGTTGGTGCTGAGGGATGTGAAGGTGACAAACCACGGCCTCTGAGTCACCGGCCCCGTCTGTGAGGGAAACAACACACGGAGAAGGTCCCAGTGTCCTCGGAGTGCTGTGCTAGGGAGAGAGCCGAAGGAAAGCGGCAGAGGGCTGGGTTTGCTCTCACTTCGAAGGCCATGCATTAGGGAATGTGAGATGAGTCGGTCAGCCTTGTTCTTGGGCCTACGAGCTGAGCTCCCAGAGAAGGTGATATGCTGCCATCTGGTGGTGGCCATAAGAGGCAGTTACGTAACCCTGACCACTCAGGAGGAAAGCCTTGCTCCTCAGAGCGGGCTCTGGCGGTCAGGTAGCTTGTGAGAATCTCAGATCCTGCCCTGAACAGGCTGAATGAAAATCTGCATTTTAACAGGCTCCCCAGTGAATTCGCATGCACGTTCACGTCGGGAAACTCTGGTTTAGAAAACAGCAGAAATCTTCAGCAAGGCCCTTTCATTCTCAGGCTTTATTCCTCACCCAGATGCAAAAGCCACCTACTACATACACCATCACTTGCTAGATCCTCCTCATAATTTTCATCTTCTTCTCCTCTGACTTTTATCAGTTTCTTTTGCCTTTTTTTTTTTTTTGACTTAGTGTTTTCCTGTAGTCATTCAACATTCCTCTAGCATAGCAAGGCTATTCCTTCCTTCCTGGTTAACGCTGGAAAACTCTACAGTGATCAGACATGCAATAAGTTTACCAATGAGTACTGGGGACTTCAGGCCTGTCGGTATCCGCTCCCCCACCCATGACCCCGTCAGGCAAAGGGCAGGCCTGGAGGGGGCACGTGCCTCCTGCGGGTGCTTTCCAGCCAAGCAAGGACAGTGAATCCTAATAAGTAAAAAAGGGACTAGTGGCAATTCCGAGTCTTGTCTCTTGGTTCCAAACCTGGATCAGAATTAGTGGGCGAAGATGCAGAGTGAGGAAGGGAGAGCAAGACCTGAATCGGTAGATATTTTCAAGATCAGCAGATATTCAACAATTCTATTACACAAGGAAACTGAAAATATCAAAACTCTGAAAACTAAATAAAGCCCTGGCTGGTGTGGCTCAGTCGACTGAGCACCAGCCTGCAACCAAAGGGTCACCAGTTCGATTCCCAGTGTAGGGCACATGCCTGGGTTGTGGGCCAGGTCCCCGGTAGGTGCTGCGCAAGAAACAACCACACATTGGTGTTTCTCTCCCTCTCTTTCTCCCTCCCTTCCCCTCTCTCTAAAAATAAATAAATAAATAAAATCTAAAAAAAAAAAAAAAACCTATATAAAAATGAATGACTTGTGCTAAAGTCTATAACACTAAATATACATATACACATATGTTATTCTAAGAATTAATATTAGAATCAATAAACACTAAATTTGCAAAAAAGCAGCCATTTTCCAGCATTAACTGGTGGCTGTTTTCTGTTATTTTAAAACTTGGAAATTCATTGGCATAGAGAGTTAGTTTCAATTTCCCAAACAGTAGAAACCATTATGAAACAGGGATTACAGACAGAAGGTCTCAGAAAGCATTTCACAATGATTTAATTATACTACCTCACAGAAAAAAAGCACAACTCCTTAAAATAGAGTTTATTAAAAAACTACCCATGATACGTCACAGCTTTAAAAGAACATCCATGAAACACATAGGACTCTAAATATATTTGATTCCCCACATTCCCATGGTTTCATGGAAACAACAGAAGATATTTTAGATAAAGAAATGAAAATAAAAATACAGATGGAGAAACCAGCAGGGATGTTAAATGAAAAGCAGCTTTAATTGCCTCCCCATAAAATGTTCCGGACCCTGACTGCCTCCCACTCTGCCCCAGCCCCCCAAGGCCCCCACAAGCTGCCTGCACTTGTCACCTACTTCCCCGTTCCAGGGGAACATCCAAATAACTTTGGTACATGCACACTTGCCAGCTATTAAGTATTAATCAGTCTAGTCTTCCATTCATAAGTGCAAAGATAAGAAGATAAATTAAGGAAGAACAACAGCACAAGAGAGAAGCAAGAAAATGAACAACTGACCCTAGAGGAAATACAAATAATTCTAAGAAGTGAGGAAGTTGTTCTTTAAAAAAGAAAAAAAAAATCTCAATATTGTTAAATGCCTCTCAAGAAGTGGCCAACATAAGCAAGTAGAAGCTGCCACAGATAAGAAATAATCAGACAACAAGGAAAAGTTCTTCAAAATTACAACTGAACTTCCTAATTGCAAAATGCAGTGGGTAAGCTGAATTATAAAAGAGAAAGCTGAAGACCTAGTTAAAAATCTGGGGAGAAAAAAGGAGAGAGAAGACCTTAAGGAAAAGCAGAGACATGCTCTAAATTCAGGAAGCTCATCTGTTTATCATAGCGGCAAAGAGACACTGGAAGGGAACAAAATGACAGGCAATCATTTCTCGGAGCTAAAGAAGTTAGTTAGATTGAAAGGGACGGACAAATGTCAAGCAAGGACAAATAAAGACCCTAACCTAGACATGTGCCACGGAAATTTCAGAACTCTGAGGACAGAGAAAGTCCTAGATGGGAAAATAAACGGGACAGCCTGCAGTTGCAATCAGTAGCAAATGGAGGCTGGAATACAACAAAACAGCTTCTTCAGAGTGGGAGAAACAAGGTTTTACAGCATATTCATAAATCTATGATAACACAGATTGTCAGACACACCAGAAAAGGCTGAGACATGCCAATGGTCATGAAACATGAATCAATTTCAAAGATGTTAAAATGTGGAGGGAAAAGTGTAACTTGGAATCAGTGAAATGCCATGCCTACACTCATATTATCAACCAATAAAGGACAAAATAGACTTTTCCAAAATTCCATAAATCTACTATCCGTGTCTCCTCTGTGAAAAATTTACTTGAGTCAGTGCTCTAGCAGAACACACAAGAAATCTCAACATGAGTCACAAGAGTCACATTTGAGTAATAGAACAAAAAGAAGTATAATGTTTAAACAAAAGGCTAAATAAAGTCTGAGAAGTACGTACGTGTATGCATATAGACACATATATACAATAATGTATATATAGGTATCATTAAACTGGAGTGCCTAAAGGGTGTCACATTTATAATGTTTTTTTCATTTTTCAATTACAATTGACATTCACTATTCTATTAGTTTCAGGTGCACAGCACAGTGGTTAGACATTTATATATAACTTATGAAGTAATCCCCCCAATATATCTAGTACCCACCTGATACTATACGTATAGTTATTACTGTAGTTAAAGAATTACAGAATTTAAAGTATTACAGTATTAAAGTTTTCAGGACATTTGGTAATTCTTTTCTATGGGTCCAGTTATGCTACTAGTTGTAGAAAGTGTAATATTTCTATAATTACCCTACCCTGCCAGGGCCATTTACTGGTTTTCAAGTTTTAGAATCAATCTATAGAAAAAGCACAGAAATCTTAAGAGTTAAGGAACAGAAGGTAAATGACACAAATAACATTACTAGACAAAATTCAGCAAGATGGACTGAGTTGCTGCGCTTCATCTTACACAGCAGTCAGTGGATGCTGTCCCAGAGCGAGAAATCAAGTAGAAATAGAAGTTAATATGTAAGTGCAGAAGTGTAATTTAGTGTAATATAAGGGTATTTTAAGTTGTTGGCTGTGTCTGTTTCTGAAGAGTAGGTGATTTTCGTCATCTCCTGTTCTGATTTTTCTTCTTTTTCACTGTATACATGCATTAAAAAAAAAAAAATAGTACCAAAGGTGAACCTGTCAAAGTTCCCAGAATGTCACAGATGCTCTTTAAATAAGAGTTTTCTCATTCTATCTTCAAAAAAAAAAAAAAAAAAGCAAACAAGTTTTCTAAAGATTCCACCTTCACATGCCAGGAAAAGATGAACCAATTTGTATCTAATATCACAGAATTAGTATTACCCACCTCCCGCCCCCAAAAGTTAATTCACTGGAAGCTGTACCTGATAGGTGCTTAGAACACGCAGCCAGCCTTTCCAAGTGACTATTGATTTTCTCAATGGCTTTGAAGTTCTTATTCCTCTTCAGCACATCCACGGGGGTCTGGGAATATCGGTCCAGCAGGGTGGGGTCGGCCCCGAAGCGCAGCAGCATCTGCACATCCTCTGTTTGTCCTAGGGCAGGCCAGAAGGAAAAGGGGGCATTGTCATGGTTCCTTCCGTAAGGAGACGTCCCCATGAGTGCTTGCCCTCCCCGTTTCCTGCCCGAGCTGCCCAGGGCAAGGGGACCAAGGTCCCTTTGCTCACAGATCTTGAACTGCTGGCCTTGGGCAATCCACCCAACTCCCAGAAGAAAGGAGTCCTGAGTGGAGTGGGAATGACAATAGCATTTAAGAGGTTTAGAAGTGCGCTCCTCTATACCTTTCTCCCCTCTCCTTGGCAACAAGCAAGGAGAGGGGGAATCTGGTTACTAGGCAACAGTTATAGCTGTAAGGATAACAGCAAGCTGTGACTTCAGATTTCTTTATTCCCTAGAGAGGAAACAAAATATTCTTCCAGAAAAAAACAAAGTCTGTCTGGGCACAGGAGAAGAAAGTGGCAATTGCTCTTGCAACAGGGTCTTTTTGTTGTCACTGTTTCCATCCTTCTAGCCCCTACCCTCTGGCTGCCTGCTCCATCTGCAGTTTTGACAAATCTATTTGCTAAGCGTCAAGGTGTCTCTGCTCAGAGATGCGACAGTTTTCAGAATGGATTGGGTGTATCCCTGGGGTACAAGGACTCATGGGGGCAAGGAGAGTGAGATCAATCAATGCCTGAACTCCACTTCCACACCCGTACTTTCCTAAAATCCGCCGCCTTGATCAGGTACCTGTACGCCAGGTACTGTCCTGCTCATGGTGTTCTTCTCTCCACCCTCCCCACCAACTGCCCTTCTTCCACTTCACAAAAATAAGGCAAAATTTAGAAGTCCTACTTTTTCCTTCCCCATCAAATCTCTCACAGTGGTAGGCAGAATTCTAATATCCCCCTTAGGTTCCCAGCACCTGGTACACACACGCCTTCTCCTAGTTCTTCAGTTAAATACTAATCCAGGTATTGCTGTGATGAGACTCGAAAATGTAATTAAGGTCCCAAAGTACTTGATCTTAAGATAAGATTTTCCAGGTAGGCCTGACCTAATCACTTGAACCCTGAAGGTCAAAGGTACAGAGGTCAGAGTACAAGGTGACTCTGATGCACTAGAAATTCTCCTCTGCTGGCTTTGAAGGTAGAAGGGACCTCATGACAAGAACTGTGTGAGATCTGTAGAAGCTAACAGCCAGCAAGGAAACGGGAACCTCAGTCCTTCGACCACAAGGAACTGAATTCTGCCCCAACCATGTAAACTTGAAAGAAGGCCTGGAACTCCAGGTAAGAACATAGTGCCAGTCAATACCTGATTTCAGATTAGGGAGACACTGAGCAGAAAACTTAGTCACACAGAACCCCATCTTCTAGAAGGGAGGCTGCTCTGGGTCCCCCAGGGAGGATGAGGGATGGAACCCCATTCCCATCCTGTCTGGAGAGTGACGTATTCTAACAGCTTGAGCTTTGTCTTCTGTGAAGTTGGACTCAGGATACCTTCCTCACAGCTGTCCCAGAGGGTGACTGAGAAAACCTGCCTGAGTATATGGCATGTGGTGGGACTCAACAGTCCTTTAAGTGTTGGGACACAGCAGTAAGGGCTGGCTGAGTCTCGGGCCCAAGGGTGGCATTGTGAAAAGTCATTTCTCACTGATTCTGCTAATGGAGAATATAGGTATGTTTTTGAAGGAAGCGAATCCCTCTCAGATATGCCGTCAGTTCGAAGTTTTCAACACACACAAAGTAGATTTCAAAAAACTGAATAGACTAGGTGTGGGTCTGTGTTTCTATCTGAAACCACCTGAAATGCATGTTCACCCTGGAGCTTTATCCTCAATTTAGGCCAAAGCTGGACTTCCAATCTCAAGCTTAGATATTCCAGAAAAATGAGTTTTTATATCCTAAAAAAAGTGATGGATACATAAAGATTGTTCCAGTTCAGTGAAACACCAGAAAACACTGGATGTACCCGCAAAACCAAGCTCCCAACCTCCACCACTCTAACCCCCCTTGCTGAGAAGTCTCCACCACATTCTCAGAGCTGCAATCCTGGACCTGGCCACCAGGTGGCAACAGATCTACCTCCATTTTTGTTCTTTTTACTGAAAATTCAGGAGTGTATGTTGTAAACAGTAAAACATATGATGAAATGGTTTGTTTACTAAGATACCAATTATGTCTTAAATATTCATATGTATATTAAAGTAGATGCCTCTGCTGTTGACTACCCCTCCCCCCCCAAAAAAGGAAAACTCAATCCCAGCACTCTGATCTACTGGCCACAGAACTGTGAGCTAACCAACGGGCGTTGTCTTACACCACTTAGTTTATGGTGGTTTGTTACATAGCACAGAAAACTAACGCAGTTACTGTAGTGTATTTTCCCAAATGAGGTGAAAACGCTGACCTCCAGGGCATCAGCTAAGGGAAAATGAGTGCCTGCCAAGCCCCTTTTTAAGAGGCTCTGTAACCTATCCTCCTCCTACTCTCCCCAGATTTTTATTAGCATCTGTAATTATTTATGAAAATTGTTAATACATTTCTGTTGTTTTAATTTCTGCGGTAGTAATTTTAGAAATAATTCAATCCAAAAAATGAACCCTCACAGTATTATAATCACTGAACTTCTTTTGTTAGTTATTTGAGCACTTTTGTTCCAGGACAGTATCACTGAATGACCACTAAGACTCTGAAGCGTAAATACTGGGACAAACTTCTTTTCATAAAATAAACTGGAAATATAAATAAAAATTTCACATTGGAGTTTTTGATTACTAAAGAGCTTGTGCATCATTTTTTAAATGGATATTAGGGGATGTACAATTGTTGTGTATTTATACTGTATTATATATACAAGTAAAGGAGTAAGATGAAAATTTTACTTTAAAATATCGATGTACACAAAATTCTAAAAATTACCTTTTCTTACAATTATTTAGACTTACAGAGTAGAAGTTCTAGATGTCAACTTAAAAAGATGTAAAGTGGTACACAGGCTTTTTAAATTCTTTAAGGGGATAAGAAAGCAAAATTTAAAGACCACTGACATACAAGACTTTTCATTTTTTCACTTGACTAGCATCCATTCCCCCTTTTTCCTGATAATAAAACCCAGTTTTCTTTTGGGAAAGCACCCCTCTCCCGTCCCAGACTACCTGATTTGACAGGAGTGAACGACACACACACACAAGCCTGTCACCACATCCTCCACCTCTGTTCTGGACCCAGCTCCAGGGGTGAACACCTGACCAGGACCTGGCCAATGAGGTTAGGCCATCCTTCTGGCTCTAGTGATTAGCTCATTGGGGGAAGGGCAGGCAAGTTACAAAAGTCAAAATCATAGAGACTCTCCCCTAGGACTTTTACTGAAATATTGGGAGGAGGTATTCTCTTTGGATGAGTTTGACAAAATGACAATATAAGCCTGAAGAGTCTGTGGCCTCAACTGAAAGGAAGCCTGTCTAAGAAAGGAGCGAACACATAAAAAGCAGAGTTCAGAGCTGAGACTGACTCTCAAAGACACCTTGGGAGCACCTGGACCAGACTGGACTCTTCAATCACACGAGCCAATACACTCCCTTTCCTGCCGAACCCAGTTTGAGTGTCTATAGCTTGTAACCAAGACAGATGCAACTACTTCCAATCCGTCCTCAATTTTTCAGTTCAAGGCAATGACCGTTTCTAGGCTTCGGTCCTGCTGCTGCCTGGCTCTGATGATTCCCTGAGACTCTGTCCCTGGGCCTTTCAAGACCACCCCTCCTGAGCCAGAGGACCATTGCAGCAACCGGCACCCACCAAAACGCCAACAGAACTGAAGACGTCTAAGGCCCCAGAATGCTGCAGTTAGTTCAAATGGTGGATTTGAAATTCAGGCCACATTAAAGAATCTGCAGAGTTCTTGATTCTCCCCGTACCAAAAATATATTCACGAAGGAGAAAAATCTCATACGCTGCTGGGGCAACCTCTCTGAGGTTCAAGCTAGCAATGGCTTTCAACATCCAAATACATATCAACATGCTAACATCTTAAAACTGTATATAGGTTTTTACCATACATAAAATATTTGTAGAAGAAAACATAAGATATTGATAATACTGGTTCCTCAGTGGCTGAAAGACAGACATAGGATAGAGACTCTCAATGTAGACCTTTTATACCTTTTGGTTTTTTGATGTAACCTATTTAAAATTTGAATGAAGTTAGACTTTGTCCAAATAAATAAAGTGTACATATTCTTTCAATAAGCAATTTCTCAACTGGGAAATTATCCTATAAAGACATTCTTACCAGTTCACAAAGATACGTGCAGAAAAATGTTCTCTGAGCAATGTTTTCAGTAACAAAATAACTGAAAACCATGTAAACATCCATCAATAGGGTAAAGACAACACTGTGATCAGAGGCACGGACTTTAATCACAAATTACTGTGCTAATGACAGCTTCAGCCCAGGAGTGCGCTGGACCAGCTCGGACCAGCTCAGACCAGCTCACAAGGACCAACTGCTACACGTCCAGGAATGTTGCAAGCCAGCTGATAAACATGGCCATTGTTAACGACTACATTATTTACACTTACAACTAAATTATTTAAATTTAAACAAATAAATTATATTCAACACAAAACTCATCCTTTCCTAGTTATCTTTCTGCGTTTTGCTATTACCTATGATGAGGTTTTTTACATCTATCTGAACACGTATCTGTGTGGTGAAAATGCAACCTGATTGTGTGTTATTGCCATGACCTACCTCCATGGTCAATGACACTGGGGGCTTGAAATCACAATGGGAATATTTATATCTGGAAATTGGCAAACAGTACAATTCAGGACTTTTCTTTTAGAAGACCCAGCTGTCAAACATTTGCCAGGATACCAGTGTCTTTAAAAAAAAGTACTCAAATATATAGGACATGAAAATATATCTAAAAACGAGTGTTGGCAAGAATATAGAAAAACTGGAACCCTCACACCTTGCTGGTGGGAATGTACAATGGGGTAGCCACTTTGGAAAACAGTCCAGCAGTTCCTTAAAAGGTTAAACACAGAACTGTCAATTACCATATGATCCAGCAATATCACTTCTAGGTATCTTCCTGAGAAAAATTAAAATATATTTCAACACAAAATCTTGCACATGGATGTTCAAAGCGGCAGTATTTAAAATAGCTGAAAAGTAGAAACAAGCTAAGTATCCACCAACTGATGAATGGATTAAAAAAATGAGCCATACCCATACAGTGGAATATTATTTGGCAATAAAAAGGAGTGAAGTACTGATATACTACAACATGAACAAAACGTAAAAGTGTGCTAAGTGAAAGAAGCCAGTCACAAAAGACCACACATATTGTAGGATTCCATTTAGGTGACATGTCCAGAATAGTAAGTCCACAGAGGTAGACTGTAGATTAGGGGATGTTTAGGGCAGAGGAGGGAGAGGGACATGGGCAGTGAATGCTAATGGATACGGGCTTCTTTTTGGGGTGATGAAGAAGTTCTACAATTGTGATAATGGTTACACAGCTCTGTGAATATCCTCAAAAAGCACCGAGTTGTACACTTTAAACAGGTAAACTGTACGGTATATGGATTATATTTCAAGAAAACTCAAAATAAAAATCCACAGGACACCCCAGACGTGGATTCCCAGTTCTGTGGGGGGATAATAATAGAGAAACGAGCCTCACTGGGCCACGCCCAGGACACACTGAAGGGAGAAAACTGCAGTTCCCGAGGAGGACCCGCCAGCCCAGAGGTGCCCAGCGGCAGGACTTCAGGCGGTCTCCAGGCCACAGGCATGTTCAGTTCCAAGCTGACATTTTATAACCATGAGTTTTCTTTCTTTTTTTTTTTGTAAATCCAGCCCTCCAACATCTCTTGCCGCAGAAGATGCCAGCATGGCCTGATTCCCACGATCAGCAGCCACACTAGGCACAAGCCCCCCATCGCTCCCTGTCACCTTCCTTCCACTGGGCCTGAGAGTTACCATTACCATTTATCACCACAGCTATCCTGTTTTTTTAATAGAAGAAATATGTTTGTCTTCCAGGAAGCACTTCCAGGAAAATGAGAGGCTTCACGGAGCTGTGTGGGAGCACACACGGTCTTCCTGTGTGTGTCACAGGCCAACAAGGTACGTCTGCGTCAAAGACCCAGCCTCTCCTCCCATGTGTCGGCCCCACTTCTGCACATGGGCTGTCTGCCCTGGCGGGGACGGGAGGGTGCAACACCTGTGCTAGATTCTAAGTGCCGGGGGGCAGGGCTATGTCTGCTGTCTGGTTCACGATTTATCTCAGATTTGGCATAATAAAGCAATAAATAACCATGTGATGAGGGCAGGAACAAATGCAACTGGAAGACCATGTCCTTGAGTCACTCAACCCCACAGAAGCCATTTAAAGCCAACAAAGCACACAGAGCCCATCAAGGGCCTTCCTTTTCTTGCCCCATCTCCTTTCTGCATACAGCCGACCCTCCCTATCACGTTTAATTCAAAGCAAAGTTTAGCCCCTGAGCCTGTCTGAGGACGGAACGGGTAAAGGGTAATGGCCTGCTCTGTGGGTTCTCCAGTGCCTGGAGGCCTCCAGCCCACGGCACGCCCTCCGCTGTGGGGTTGCCACTTACGCTTGATGAGGTATCCTGGGGAGTAGGCGGCAACCACATGCAGGACGGTGCAGCCATCCTGATCCTTCTGGTTGACGCGGCCTTTCCACTCTGGCTGGTGCTCCATCAACCACCTGAAGAGATGGTTTTCCCCTGAAGGGCATTAAGATGGTTACTGATGTTATTTTCTGCATACAGGCAACCAGCAAAGCAAATCCATGGGCAGCACACTGGGGGAAGCAAGGCGGAAGCGTTGCCGCTTACCACTCACCGGTGTGGGAGACACAGGAGTTCGTGAAGTGAAAGCCTGAGTTTTAGAAAGTTATTCGTAATGCACTCAAGTCAGACTCCCTAGAAGCAAAGCCTGAGACAAAGATTCTTGGCTGTGTGACTCACTGAGAGAGGGAGCTCAGGAGACAGGGAGGGGAGCAGGGCAGGGCGGGGGAAGGGGGCAAGCCGCGATGTGGTCTCAGCTGAGCCTCCCACGGCCTGACCCCCACGGGGAGCTCCAGGGCATGAATGGCACCGCAGAGCTGACCCCGCTGGAGGCAGAGGCCGCCCTTCTGTACCCCATGTCAGTCCGTGGAGACCTACAGAATGCCCTCGGGGAGGAAGGCGAGGTTGACGAGCACCTCCCGGGGACGTGGGGCCTGTGGGCAAGAGCAATCCTCCGCCGGACACTCACTCCCCCGACACTCCTCCAACAATCCTCCTCCAACACTCACAGCGAGTGGGGGTGAGCACTGGCCCTAGAGAGGAGCCAGGCAGGGCCTAACAGCGCCTGTCAAGTCAGTGTCTCCGAAGAGACGGCTCTACTACATGACTATCAATAGCACATATATTTCTAATTCTTTTCCCAGACTCCCTTTCTTGTAGCTCCTGGGATTGAGGAAAGCCACACACTTCAGCCAACTCGGTGGACACCACCTGTCACTATGTCAGTTTTCCTCACGAATCAACGTGAGGACTTGCTCTCCTCTGTCGGTATAGCTCCTATGCCCACAGGAGTTAATTAAAGCACAGACTCATGAGGAATCATGACTTTCATAGCCAGAGGCACACTCTCTGGGTTCCAGATGCCTAAATAGAAACTGGGAAACTGGATTAGATTGCCTTTCATCAAACTTCACTTGACGTTTCATCCACCAATCCCTGGGTAAGAATATAATCTCTTACAGATTCCCCAATGCACAAAATGAATAACGTCAGGGCAAATCTAGCTAAAGCAAAGATGGGGGCCCAGGTCTTCAAGCCCCTGGCCACCTCCACGCCCTTGCCTCCGGGGGGATGATACAGCCTAGTAAGAGGAAGGCTGTCTAGGCAAGTTCTCTTGGCCCCTCCTGGCTCTAAAATGATGTGGGTGAATATCCAACAGTGATGCCACGTCTGCTTGGAGAAGAACAACAAGCTTCTATATAAAGTATAAAATGTGTATGTGTCTGTTTTAATAATAAAATTTTTAAAAAAACAATTTTATGCAAATAGGAGCCCTTTAAAAGAACCACAAGCAATCTGTACCAGCAACAGCCAGCGTTTCCCTTGGGATTGCACCCTGTCCCCACAGCACTCAGCCCTCCAGGCTACAGAGAAAGTGAACGTGAACCTGGAAAAAAGTCACATCTGCCTTTGCTGGGGGTGGGGGGGTAGAGGGGAGGAAACTTCACAGCTCTCCCCGGACCTCTGCCCAGCAAAGGCTGTCCGTCCCACTCTGCTCCCTGGGTCCCAGGACTCCATCCTGCTGCCAGGATCTGTCTAGGAACACAGAATCCTTCCAGGCTGGGCCGCCTGTGGCTACGAGGTCCCAGGAGGAATAAAAACGATGCAGTGTCCCTGCTGCCTTCATTCATTTGAATAATCAATCATTGAATATTTATAACATCCAAAAGTTTTGAATATTCCACTCAGGTGGCTAAATTCTGCTTTCACTTGAGCTCAGCAGAGTGCCAGAGCTGAGCTGGAAGGACGCCTGGGAGGGTGTGTAACTGGGCGAAGACTCACTTGCTTGGATGCAGAGCCGCATGAGGTCGTGTAGAGGGTACGGCCCTATAGTCTCAATACTTGCGCCAATGGAGATAAGCCACTGGACTAACTTGGGCACCTGTTCCATTTTGTCATACACTCCGATGACATATTTCTAGAAAATACACAGAAACAATCATGGATGTCACTATATCAATATGAAACTTCAAACTCTTTCACCCAGAAAGTTCAGAATCAGAACTTTCAGAAAGAAATCCAGAACAAATCCAGAAACCTGGATTTGTTGTGGCCCCAGCATAAGATTATTATAAATAATACATTTGCGGTCAGGCAGCCGAAAAAGGAGGTCCCAAATACAAGCCTCAAGTAAAACCATATACTTCAAAAAGCCACCTTACCTCAAAGAGACTTTTCAGGGATAAGTCTGGGACGTAGATATTTCTTGGTAGCCGATCTTTTTTGGCTGACAGAAGTAGAAATGACTGAGGAAGGGGGGAAAAGAAAAGGTTGGAATGATGATGTTCTCCACATAGTTATTAGAGCAAAAGTTATCTTCAGCTTTAAAACGAACAATGAAAAACCAAAACAAAACACCCTCTGGCCTTGTCTCTTTTTTTAAGCCAGCTGCCAACCTTTTCAGCCCAAGCCATGATAATCCAAGTCTGTCTGTCTGTCTGTCCAACTTCCCATTCGTGCCGAGAGCTAAACTCTCTCCACACTTCCTCGAAGCCTGCTGAGGACAGGAGCGGTGGGTGTGAAGCAGGGCTGCGGAGAGTGCCATGGCGGAGTTCTTAATGCTGGGCAAGCAGAACAATCGAGTTCTTTAGAAATATTCCAATTAATTCTTCAGCACATAAGCTCCAAGTCTCTGGGGTCTATGAGACCCTATTGAGGAGTGGGCTGGAGCCGGCTCCTTTACCAACTAGGGAGAGTTGACTGTGCACATCTCTTCCCATCTCCAAGGCCTGTAGCTGTATTAGTAGCCATGGTCGAGGTCTTTACACTACAGAAATTGGTAAACACTACAAATCAGGACTTTATTTTCTCAGAAAGCCAGTTGTTAAACCCCTGGAGAAACAGAACCCCAGGGAGGTTAAGCAAGTTTTCCTGGGTCACACAGGTAGCACATCCTGAGAGGCCCTTTACTGAGACCATCCTGGTACACGATCAGGTCTAAGAGTTCCAGGCTCTGGTATGGCCATGACTGGAGGCCCGGTCTCAAAATCGACTTCCCTCATGTGTCCTCTTGCCATTAATGGAGCCTAGGACAACACTGGCTTCCAGTTTCTTTCAGTTTGGTCCCTACTCTTAATGGCTCATTCTGCTAATATTCAATTCAAGGTGACAGTTCGAAATTCTCACAGTCCTGATAGCTAACCTGGCTTTTTTTGTTGTTGTTTTGCTTTATTTATTTTTTTTTAAATAAGCTTTTGTTTTTAATATTTGCAAATGATCTAAGCCCCATTGCTAGTAGGACATTGGACCTGCCATTTGGGTTGGATTCCTGAGTCTTCCTGGCTGTTTTCTCAAGACCTTTAATTGTGAGAACAAGCTTCTGGGAACTCATGGCCAGACACCCTGAAACTACACCCACAGCTCTGTGTGCATGCAAAGAGAGTCCCTTCGATTTCATCAGACTTCCATGGGATCCATGCCCTTCCCCAGAAGTGAAGACTCCTGTATTGTAAAGTCATTCAGACTGCCTGGTTCTAGGCTCCTTAGAGGTTGCCCTTGCTTTGGTCACTTCCCTGGGACTTCCCAGCTTTAAAAGCCCCAGTAGGCCCTTTCTAATAACACTCACAGCCTTGGCCAGCCCATTCTCAGAAGTACTCACAGGCCGCCGTCAATGATAACTCTTCTTCAGCGGGCACTTAGCACATGCCAGGTATTATAAAAGTCTTTTAGCTCAGTTCCTGGCACATGGTAAGCCCTGAATAAACTAGCTGATATTATTATTAGGGGCCCTTGGTCCACTATTTCTAATCCTCACCAAAACCCTGAGGAAAGAGGCTTATATCCTACAACTTACTGATGAGGAAAATGAGGGTGAGAGGGAAATAATTGGTTCAAAATAGAACGTGGACGATCAGGGTTCACAGAGACATCCCTGTGACACGGGAGCCAGGCTCCACAGTCCACTCTGCTCCTCCGTTGCTTGGGTGCCTGGCTCTGGGTTTGGATCCTACAGCCTTAAGGCTACCTCTGGGTAGCAGTCCCTTAAAACTACCCAGAAACCCTCCGAGCAGCGCAGGCAGGTCGCCTGGGTCCACACTGGCAAACGCAGTGTACCAAGGCTATGAAGATGAACATGCATTGTTTATTTTCCTCAGTCCATGCTGCTACTCACGTATGGACTTCACGTTTCTTTGATGACGATAGCAACACAGAGCAGGAAGTACGGATGCCACAAATTGGGCATACACCTTCTTACTTTAAAAAAATGGAAGCTGGCTAATCCATATATCTCAATGACTTTCCATCTTTAAGGACATTATAGTTAAAAAGTTATTTTGGCATAAAGATAAACAAATAATACATTATCATTTCCCAGGGCCAGCAGAAAGAAACCATTCAATGTGGAGTGCACTTCCCCACAGGGAAGCCGTCTCCTTTACTTACAGGCCATAATCCTTTCTTCCCCAGCTTTTCTATTACCGATTGCCACACTTCCGTTGAGAATCCAGTAGAGAATATTTGATCACAGTGGGGCATGAAGCTTTTTAAAACAACGGGGTCACCTGAAAGCAAGTGCCATGGTTCAGAAAGTTTAACTTGGGGAAAGTCTACAACATTTGGGAACAGGCCTCCCCGTTAAGACTGCACATAGACTAATGATAAGTTACATACGCATGAAGTTGCAATCATTTTTAATTTGGGTGACAATCAATCCCTTAAGAGTTAGCACACGGGGAGCCAGTATTCACCTAGCTTTTCTATTCACCAAATCCGGCAATATGTGTTTATACTGAATTCCTCCCACAAGCCACGATGGCTGTGCCTGTTACCTCCATTCATGAAGGAGAAAATGGAAGCTTAAGGGAACTTACAAAATCCATCTCCTGGAATAAAAATGGGACAAAATACTATTCTCATCCAACAGATGAGAAACTCTCACAAATGAGGTCAGGCTTCATGGCATATAATGCTGCAGGTCGATGACAAAAGTCAAGGCTGGAACCCAGGTTAATATTCATTCTTCTAACCTGGGGGCCCACGAACCTGGCACCTCATGGTTCTTCAAACCCCATTTCTCAAACTCGTGGATGACAAAAACATCCAAGGGCGCAGGCCAGACAGAATAACATGGCACCTCTTCCAGGGTTACTAATTTCCAACAATAAGGAAATATCAAAATAACCATATATTATGTGAAAGGGTACAAAATTCCCGTAAGTATATTTTTCACAATTTAGGAACTGGGCATGGGCACACTCTCCCGCTCCAGACAGGAGTACTTTGGGAGGAAAGTATGGGATGCATTGCCCCAAGGAGTCCTGTTAGCTGTTCCCTCTAATGATGGGGGAAGAATGGAAACCATCCAGATTTCTTCAAGGAACAGTCACCAAGAGCAGCCGTTTAGCCCACCTGGCCTCGGACAGAACAATGATTTTCAGGAGACGCAGAGAAGACAGTGAGGAGCGCATGGGAAGGACAAACCATTGGGTTCTGAAACTTCTCCACATCAGACTTACTGCCCATAGTGGTGAAGACTCCGACGAGGAAATCGGCAAACTGGCTCTGATCGCTGCTGCCCTGCAGAAGCTCAAGACCCTCAAAAAACATGCGAGCAGCATCATAATGATTGAGCAACCGCAGCAAGGAATAACCAGCTCGGTAGTATCCCTGGAAAGGGGAAAAAAGAAAACCTTAGCAATACCCCTCTCTTCTCGTGTGCTGCTGAAGGGAAGGACAAGATCAATGACATGGGAAATGGGCTCTAGAATCTTACTTCTGTATAAACACAGATTTCTAGCAGGCACTGCACATTGGATTGCCACATTAGATTCTGTGCCACATTTTTCCTGTCGTTTTCTAACTGCTAAGAAAATAAACACTCTCAAACCTATGACGTACAAAGCATCTAACATATGACACAGAGGTAAGGAAGCTGGCCTGCTTCCAATTACACGTGTGGTTTATTTATTCATGCCTCCAATCACAGGCTGAGCAAGAAGAGAGGAATGAAAAAAAATGCCATGACGACGGTGTTCTGGGAAAGAATGAGATTATCATGTAAACACAGAAGTCGTTCCCTGCTCCTTTCAATCAAAGTAAACCCAATTTGCACTGGGCATGTAGGGGGGAAAACTGCAATCACAAGCATTGAGGTTTATGGAGCTCCACATTCTAGGCAGTATATACGAGAGGTAAAAAAATGGTTTTTTACTTCTGTAGAGAGAGGAAAATCATAACGATTAATACAGGAAAGTGGCCTGTGATGCAAAAGGCCTCCCATGCATCCCGTATTGTAGTGTGAGTAAGAACAAAACAATACCTACTGCCTTCTCCCCTTCGACCATCCAACTGTACTGGTGCTTAAAATTCCACTTAACTCCAAATCTTTGATTATTTATTAATTTGTCTTAACCTTCATTTGAAAATCTAAACTTTAGATATCAGAAAAAAAAGTGTTTTCTTCCCCCAACCAGACAAGCTGATACAGAATTTCCCATTTCTTTGACTTCCTCAGATTCAAGTCCCATGTTTTTATTTTAGAGATAGGTGAGGGGATCTGAATATGCCACGCCAAAATATGAGAAAGAAGGACTGCATAAATCCCCTCCCTGGGAAATTTTTATGGCAATGAAAAAGGCAGAAAGTCAGCACTGAGATCAGCCTGCAGAAACCAACCTGGTTAAGGTAGCCCTTCTCTTCCATTAGTGTCCCTGTATATGTACCTCTCCACAGTTCAGGGCCCCTAAAAGTCTTTAAAACACTGTCCTTTGTCTTGTTGTGTCTCCACAATTTATCTCTCTTTGTTAAAATGGTATATAAGCCCTTCAGCTTATCTACTTCTTTGGAGTCTTCACGTTTCTCAGAAGGCCCCCACATCACATAAAAATTAACATCAAATAAAAATCTGCCTGGCTGGTGTGGCTCAGTGGACTGAGTGCCAGACTGTGAAGCAAAGGGTCACTAGTTTGATTCCCAGTCAGGGCACATGCTTGGGTTGCAGGGCAGGTTCCCAGTAGGGGGCATGTGAGAGGCAACCATACATTGATGTTCTCTCCCTCTCTTTCTCTCTCCTTCCCTCTCTAAGGATAAATAAAATCTTAAAAAAAAAAATCTGCGTGCTTTTTGATGAGACTTCTGGTCATGATGGGGGCACAGGTAAAATACTTCATTTCCTTGCACAACTACAGAAAAAATTACAACAAAACAAATATCACCCAGAACCATCACAAAATCTCTCTCTATGGAAGTCTGACAACCAAGGATTTAAAGAAGCCACACTCATCCAGACAGGAAGGAGGGCGGAGATGCAGAGACAGGCGGAGAGGTGTGGAGAGGCAGCGGAACGGGCAGTCCTACATTCACCTGTGGTGGATAAAAATCAGGAAGGATACCTTGGGAGTGAGGGATCCCAGCCCCAGGCCAGACCACCCAGCCCAGGGTTCCAGCACCAGGGTTCCAGCACCAGGAAGATAAATCCCTATAACTTCTGGCTGTAAAAACCAGTGGGGGGTGGAGGGGTGGCACAAGAAGCTGCTGGATTTTCAGGAGACGCCTCCTAAAGGGCCTGTACGAACTTAGAACCTATGCTGGCCCACCCACTCTGGGATTCAGCACCAGGACAACAGCTGGAAGGGCACCAGTCACATACAGGGAGAAAGTGAACTGATTGGAAACAGGGGAGTGCCAGGCAAACCTGCAGAAGCCAGGTAGAGGCCTTGCTCCCTCCCCAAGCACTTCCCCCTCAACAAAGCCACAAAATGGTGAAGCGGGTTGGGCTGCCCTGGTGATCACCTAAGGCTCTGCTCCACACAACTTACAGGTATGCTTTTCTATAATATGCCATACTACTAAACCTGGAAGTCAAAGGAGCTTTACCTAATACACAGAAAGAAATGTAGGGAGGCTGCCAAATTGAGGAGACAAAGAAATATGGCCCAAATGAAAGAACAGAACAAAACCCCAGAAAAAGAAATAAATGAAATGGAGATAAGCAACCTATCAGATGCAGAGTTCAAAACACTGATTATCAGGACATTCAGAGAACTCATTGAGTATGGCAACAGCATAAAAAAGACTGAGGCAGAAATGAAGTTTATGTTAAGTGAAATAAAGAAAAATCTCCAGGGAAACAACAGTACAGGGGATGAAGCTGAGATTCAAATAATAATATGGAATATAAGGAAGAAATAAACATTCAATCAGAACAGCAAGGAGAAAAAAAGAATCCAAAAAACAAGGACAGAATAAGGAGCCTCTGGGACATATCCAAATGCATCAACATCCAAATCATAGGGACACCAGAAGAGAGAAAGCAAGAAACTGAACACTTTTTTGAAAAAATAATGAAAGAAAACTTCTGTAGTTTGGTGAAAAAAATAGACATACAAGTCCAGGAAGCACAGAGAGTCATGAACAAGTTGGACCCAAAGAGGACCACACCAAGGCACATCATCATTAAAATGCCAAAGGTTAAAGATAAAGAAAGACACTAAAAGCAGCAAAAGAACAGCAGAGAGTTACCTATAAAGGAGATCCCATAAGACTATTAGCTGATTTCTCAAAAAAAACTGAAGGCTAGAAGGGACTAGCAAGAAGTATTCAAAGTGATGAAAAGCAAGGGCTTACAACCTAGATTACTCTAGACAACAAAACTATCATTTAGAATGGAATTCTAAATCCTAGAAAGGGCAGATAAAGTGGTTCCCAGACAAGGGAAAGCTAAAGGAGTTCATCATCACCAAGCTATTATTACAGGAAATGTTAAAGGGACTTATTTAAGAAAAAGAAGATGATCAAAATTATGAACATTAAAATGACAACAAATTTACAACTATCAATAACTGAATATAAAAAACAAACTAACCAAACTAGAACAGGAGTAAAATCATAGATATGGAGATCATTTGGAGGGTTATCAGCTGAAGGAGGAGAATGAGGGGGGTGGAGAAGGTACAGGGATTAAGAAGTATAATTGGTAGGTACAAAATAGACAGGGGGAGGTTAAGAATAGCATAGGAAACAGAGAAGCCAAAGAATTTATATGCCTGACCCATGGACATGAACTAAGAGGGGACATTGTTGGAGGGAAGGGAGGTACCAGGCAGAGGAGGGCAAAGGGGGAAAAACTGGGACATCTGTAATAGCATAATCAATAAAATGTAATTGAAAAAAAAATCTGTGTTTTCCTCTTGTTTGTCTGTCTCTTATCAGGCACATTTGCAGGACCCTAAGCCACTGAACCAAGAGAGGGTAAAGAAAAAGGTTTTCTTCCTCCCCTCGGGAGGACACTTGGGGGAGGGATGAGCAGAGGGAAAGAATGGAGAAAGAGAGAGACACCCAGAAGCCCCAAGTGAAAAAAAGGGGATTGGTCCTGGTGACTCTGCTGTCAGGGGCTGCTGCAGACGTGGCCACTCAAGGAAGCACTCGGACCATCATCTAGGACCCCATGCACCCTGTCGGCCACAGCCAAGCCTCTGGGTCAGGAACACAGGAGGATCCCAATCACTCCCCACCCTGTCTCAGGGACAGGATGGGAAAATCCTAGAGAGTCTTTGGGCAGAATTACCCAGGAATGCATTAACATTTCCAGAAAGATTCAATAGTTCCTACAGTATCCATCCTCCAAGAGAAGATGTTTCCTGTAAAACATACAGATCCCTCCCTCCAGACCGGCATAATCTGTAGGTTCAACTGCCCACCCACTCCCCACTGTGTTGTTTCTGGCAGACGTACACGAAATGCAGACCCTGAGGACACAATGCAGACTCCTATTTACTGAGTGTCAATAACCGTTCTTCATGTCTCCTTAATCCTTGAAGCAAGTCTAAGGCATAGGTTTCATCTCATTTTACAGTTGGGGAAATGAAAGCTCAGAGAGGGAAAATGACTCATCCAAGCTGTTGAAACCAGTCCAGGTGAGCACGAGGGAGAAAGGGCTGGGCTCTGCCCGCTTTACTGTAGAGCCTCTCTGTAAACTGTCTACACCACTAATTTGAAATTAAGTGTATATTGACTCAGAGAGTCCCAGGATGTAATTTAAGGCCTCGGGTTGTGCACATGGTTTTCCTCTCCCCAGCTTGACTGTGAATTTCTCAAGGTCTGGGACGGTATCATCCACTTCTTCTGTCTGCCTTGACACCAAGAACTTGGAAGTGCCTGGCTGAGAGGGTACTCAAAGCATTTCAGCTGAAAGAACAATCAAATGATTATTTAGTGGACCTTTGTTAACAATCTTCAAGAGTCTTCCTAGCCTCTCAAACTTCTCTGATCCCCACAAAGGGCCTTATCCCTACTGTAAAAAAATGCCACCTCAAGAATCGGTGTCATGTCTCCACCCAGCTTGCATCTGAAATACAGCTTTGCTAAAATGAGACTTGAGAACAGCCAAGAATGGGAATAGACTGTGAATTTTGGCGTAACTAAGTTCAGAACAAAACAAGCTCCAAGAGGACGTCCACTACACTCCACTTACCAGGAGGCCCAGTTCTCCTCTGCCCTGCGAGCGCATTTCCCCACTAGGCCATCACAGTTTCCACTCTCCTCTGGGTGCCACTCACATGCCCATGGGCATCCATGTGACATACGAAGAGGGCTGACTGAGGAGCACTTCCATTTGAAAGCGAAGGGGGGACGGAGCCGGGCTCAGGGGAGGGGGGTGGCCGCTGCCCCGGGCTGTCCCTTGCACCTACCTTCACGTAGGACGGATCCCATTCCAGACATTCCTTGGCAGCTGCGGAGGCCTCCTTCCATTTCCTGAGGTTGTAAAACGCATTGGACTTGTTGCACAGTAGCACAGCCAGCTCCCTAGGGTGGACCCTGTGAGAAAGGACAAGCTGGTGATCGTAAAATATCTTCCTGCAAAGAGAGAAAACAATGCTTCACGGCATCATTTTGGTGCTGGCTGCTGCCATCATGATGAGGGTTCAGCAGGAAATGTCCCAGGTGTGCCTGTCGGTGCTGACCCTCGTAGACCCTGAGGAAGTCTCGCACTTGCAAGGTACAGATCTGTCCCTCACTCCCAAATTCTCCGCTCCCAGGTTTAATGACAAATGTTCTCAACACCTTGGTTCCATTTCCTATTGATCACCAAGGGTCACCTTAGAGAACCCTGGTGAACACGCTGCAAAAATGGTGACTGTACCTAAGGACAGAGGGGATGGGAGCTGCCCACTGCGCATTAGCAGAGTCCAGACGCGATGTGAACGCTCGCACGTCGCCGCCGCGTGGGGGCAGAGCTGATCACAGGAAGGGCCCCTCAGGTCACGTGAGCACACCAGCTCCGGACCCACCGCGCGAGGTCCGGGACGAGCGCTATCCCGCCGCACTGGCAGGGCCACCCTAACATCTGCAGGACCCAGAGCCAGGGTGCCAACAGAGGCCCGCATGCCACGTGGCGAATCTGCGCTGCCCAACAGTGTAACCACTAGCCACATGTAGCTGTTTACATTTAAATTAATTAAATTTAAATAAAACGAAAAATTCAGTTCCTTCCTTGTATTAGCCCCATTTCAGTACCTAGTGACTACCTTCACAGGAAGTCCTATTGGACAGTGCTTGTCTAAAGATTTGAAGGCCACAACTCATGCTTGAAGCTGTACAATAAAATATGTTCTACCAGTCAGGGCACATACCTAGGTTGCAGGTTTAGTCCCTGGTTGGGACACATATAAGAGGCAACCAATCGATGTCTCTCCCTCACACCTATGTCTCTCTACCTCTCTTTCTCCTTCCCTTCCTCACTCTAAAAAATAAATATATAAATAAATAAATAATATAAAACATACATCAATATGTAATGGTTTCTTACTGATACTTTTAAGTAGATGAATAAATACATATTTTAAATTTCTCTCAGTTTTAAGTTTTGATACAGACTACATTAACAGCTAAAAACCTACATAAACAAAAGCTCGTTGGGGTCCTCCACAATTTTTAAGCATTATCATGAAACTATAGTGTTTGGGAACAGGCCAAGTAGCTCAGTTGGTTAGAGCATCATCCCAACACACCAAGGTTGTGGGTTTGATTCCCAGTGAGGGCATATACAAGAATCAACCACTGAATGCATAAATAAGTAGAAGAACAAATATCTCTCTCCCTATCTCTCTCTCCCTCTCTCTCTCTCTCTCAATATATAATTTTTTTTAAAAAAATGATGAAATGACTGACAACTGAGAAATTTGGGGACTTCAGTCATCCCAGAAACTCTGATCTCATAACCAGACAGAAGCAAAAGTGTTGTAATGTTTATCGACAGTCTGCTAGGTTTCACTTTCTATTTCCCTTATTACTCTAGTGTTGTCAATTCAGCTTCTGAGCAGACAAAGTAGAGAAGATCAACAGAAGCGAGGGAGAAAAGAAACAGAAACTAGGCCGTGTGGTTAAGAAACGACAAGAAAACACATTGAAATAAGGAACAAACTGACAGTAATCAGACGGGGGTGGATAACGGGGAAAAGAAGGGGAAGGGATGCCAAGGAACATGTATAAAGGATCCGTGGACAAAGCCAAAGGTGGGTAGGACTGAGGTGGGGTGCATGGGGCGGGGCAAAGTGGTGGCGGCAAACTACTTGAACAACAATTAAACAATCAAAATAAAAGATAAAATTTAAAGTTCACATTAAAAAAAAATCAAAAGAAAACATAATCAACTAAGTTCCCATTTACTTGCAAAAAAAAGAACGAAGTGAGAAAAAAATACAAACACTTACCCCCACTGGAACAGCTGTAGGAGAACCTGAATGGCTTCATCGTACTTCCTGATGGCCAACGAGAAGTTCCCATTCCTAAAAACTTGGTTGCCAGATTCTTTCAACAGCTCAGCGTAGGCTATGGGGTCCATCCTGAGGACAGAGAGGAAAGGCTGGCTGCCAGGTCTGCCTGAGGCCAGCCCCCTTCCCATCTGCATCGCTGAGAGTCTGGAGAGGCAGTTTGTTCACTCTGGCCCCGCCCACCTGTCCAGGGCACACCCTTACAACACCCCTCACCACCATGGGACCTGACAAAGAGTCTGAGGAGGCCATTTCTTCCTCAGTCCTTTCCTGACCTCAGGGCAGAGACCAGAAGGGGGATGCCATCTATTCTGTGTTAATGATCAGCTGGGCACTGAGCAAGGAAGCTGCCCCTCTGTGCAAGACAACAGAAAGCTGGCACGGAGTTTGGCTCAAGAAGTGGCAGCAGTTCCTAGAGCTGGCACCATTATTTCACTCTCATTTACCCAATCACCACGGCCTGTAAGGAGTCGTTGGTCACATTATTCCGACTTGGGAACAATTCTCAAAAAGGTTCATGTCCATTTGCCTTGAGTCTGCTAGGAGCATTCCCTGGTTCAGACCCCAAATTCAAGTTTCTGCTATTGACCACAGCACCCCATCACCTAGTAGTACAAGCAAAACTCAGCTGATAGTCCTACTCAGAAGGTGGGGGGACAGGGAGTGGAGCGGGGGCAGGTACAACAAACAAAGGACAGCCACAACAAGGGACTGAGTCACAGGGCCACAATCACTGCCTCGCCCATCCTCCCCCTTTCCTAAAACACCACAAAATAAGCCTCAGAGCATCTGTCCTTGAGATTTGTCCCTGAATTTGCCATGGCCTGCCTACTTGTCTGTGCCCCTCAAGAAACACAGGCTTCTTTCAGGTCATGACTTCCGTTTGACTCATTGCGTACCCCTCCGGCCTAACATATAATGGGTACTTAGATATTCGTGGTGTAACAAATTTGAATGCCAGCCCCAGAGGCTGCCTCTTACTGACCGATTCTCTCTGGTGTGGTCTGGACAGTCAGAGAGAAGTGCTGCAGCCCTGCCCGCATGAGGGGCCTCAAGAGACCACCTCGGACAGGCTCAAGGAGGTGGGGTGGGGGGGCAGGAGAGACGTCCTTCAGATCGGACATAGAGATGTCCTCCCAAGATGGCAGAGAAAAAAGGAAGGTGGTGGGGAAGGTCTTAAGTAACGAGGATGTTTCAGGTGTTTGCAAGTGCCGTGGACCTTAATCTATTGGCGGTCTCAATGACCAACACAGTTCTTGGATATATAATAATTCTTAGTATTTTTATTATTTCAAATCTCAACAAGGGGCTTCAGGTCAGGGAAAGCAGACCCGTGCAGATATAAGTGGTGGCTTATTTTAAACCCGTATGAGCTTATCAGAAATGGGTTTGTTTATTTTCTTTTTTTTCCTGGGCTGCATTCCTCGGGCAGAGCTGTAGCAGAACGAAGCACCTGACTCTTAGACAAGGCGGAAGGCGAAATTCCGCCCACACTTTTCATGAAACGATCTCTCAGTTTTATGGTTCACATTTTCAGAGATGGCTGAGAAGAACATGAAAAAAAAAACAAACGAAAGAATCAATTGACCAGAGAATAAAAAAGATGTTTTTCTTTCAAATATTGCCAGCTGTATGTCCCATAAATATTTTTTAAACTGGCCATGATCAGACTAGAAAAAGGAAATCATTATTAACAACCAACAGAGGTTGTAAAAGCCCTCTTTGGTAATACCTTTCCACAGTGAAAAAAGACCAACACCCTGGCCAAAATGTGCAAGGTCCTCAACAGACAATTCACAAGGACTACAAGTAATGCCCCCAACCAGGTACCTGGCCTGCAACCCAGACATGTGCCCTGACCAGGAATCCAAACACTCATTGTGGTTTTGATTTGCATTTCCCTGACGATTAGTGATATTGAGCATCTTTTTATGTACCTATTGGCTGTCTGTATGTCTCCTTTGGAAAAAAGAAGACATTCTGTTCTATCCATTTTTAAATCAGATTGTTTTCTTCTGATTTTGAGTTGTATGAATTCTTTATATATTTTGGATATTTGGCCCTTATCAGATAGGTGACTTGCAAATAGTTTCATTCCTCCATTCAGGAGGTTGCCTGTCATTTTGTTGATGGTTTCCTTTGCTGTGCATCAGCCTTTTGGTATGATGCAGTCCCATTTATTTACTTTGCTTTTGTGGCTTTTCTTTCTGGTATCAAATTCAAACGCTCATCACCAAGATCTATATAAAGGAGGCTAAATCCTTTTAGGAATTTTATGGTATAGGGCTTACATTCAAGCCATTAACCCATTTTGAGTTAATTTTTGTGTGTGGTCTAAGATAGTGGTCGAGTTTCATTCTTTTGCATGCGGTTGTCCAGTTTTCCCAACACCACTAATTGAAGAGACTGTCCTTTCCCCCGGTGTGTACTTTGGCTCCTCTGTCATATATCAGTTGATTCTATGGGCATGTGTTTATTTCTGGGCCTTTCTACTCTGTTCCATTGATCTACATGCCTGTTTTTACACCTGTATCATATTGTTTTAATTCCTATTTTAAATAACATTTAATCAATGTGGTCAAGTCAATGTTGAAGAACTCAAACACAAAATATATCCACTATGCTTACAAAGAGAATAAAAACAATTCACTTCAGAATCTTTGGGGGGGGTTGTGCTCTGATAGAAACCAAGAGTGAGCTCTTAATGCTATATGGGCAAACATCACATGTATTCATGCACTTATTATTCTCCTTTTTTTGGTACCAACATGTCACAGGGGAAAGTGAATTGCCAACCACATAGAAGCTTTTCACTTCTTAATAGGATTTATTGACAGTTACATTTTTATTACAGGAAAGAATGCTCTTATCTCTGCTTTGGAACACAGAGGGCTAAGTTGTTGAGTCTTTTTTTTTAACAACTGGGTGGCCTATTTTTAAGATGAAATTTTTATATACAAGTAGTAACAATTTAACAGAATGACAATATGCTTGAGCACTGGCCATGGGCTTTACATCACTGAGTCATTTTATTCCTGCAAAAAGCCCCATGAAGTAGGCCAGACTGTGTCCCCATTTGACATACAGGCAACTGGAGGCAAAGAGAGGTTATGCTTCTTACCACAGTCACACAGAAAGTTGTGGAGCTGGGGTCCAAACGCAAATGGCCTGACTTCAGGAGCTCAACTCTACTCCAAAGGGTAAAGACAGAGGTTAAAGGTCAGACCCCAGTCAGATCACTACAGTGTGTGATATCTTGGCAGGCACCCAGCAATCACTCCCCTGCACCTTCGGTTTTGCTAACGGTGCAAAAGCTAAAAGATAAGTACATGACATATTCACAGCTGCAGCATTGGCTTTCAGTCAGTTTCACTACGCCCCTCTGAGAATTCAAGGTCCAGTTTTGGGGAGGCGTCCTGGGCTGCCTAGCTATACCCAAAAAAGCAGAAGCAAGAAAAACACAAATGCACTGAGTAGATTTTGAAAGAAGCAAGTTTGAACGTAAGCAGACGCAGGCTGTTGTGGTTTATGTTATTCACTGTGTATAGACGCGTGGAAATTATACAACGGACTTGCAGGAAGAGAGCAAAAACTGCCAGCAGGAGCGGGCTGGGCGTGCCTGAAATGGGCAGAGGGAGGCTTTACCTTCACTGGTTATCTGGGTCCAACTTGAAATCTTGAGAGCAAATTAGTTTCCTTTTTTGGTTTTTGGTGGTTTTGTTTTAAAAAATAAAATCCTTTCAAAAGACCCTAAAAGCAGTCAATGATCCAGGATCAACTGTGGAATGCTGGGGGCAGAGATAGTTCCAGACCGAGGCTAGAGAACAAGTCTTAAAACTGACTCCTTCCTACTCCCCACAGGAAGTCGGCCAGGAAAAGAATCCAAAGTCAGACTCATCCTGGGGGCTCCAATTTGTTTTCTTTGCTTTTCTGTCTCTCTCTCTCTCTCTTTTTTTCCCCCCGTGGGGGAAAGAAGACAAATGCAAGAGAATAGCAGGGATTTTCTTAAGAAACTCACTCAAAATCTATCAAAAGGCCTCTGGAGAAGTATGAAGTTTTAGGCCCAAGCCTCTCCCACTTGGGTACAAAAATAGAACAAGGGAAAACACACCCGCCTGCTCGCACCGGCCTGCCGTAAACCAGGGGCTGTCCCCGTCCGTCCACTCTCCTTCGTCCATCAGCTTTGAATTATTCTGCCCCAATTATAACCTCATTAACCCGCAGCTACACGGAACACCAAAGTCAAGATGGTGATTTAAAAACCAGTTGACAAGTCCTGCTGTGAACTGCCCTTGTAAAATTTACATCCGAAAACTCATTCCCAACAAAAAGTAAGTATCATAAATATCTACCTAATATTGAGTGTCTCTTGGGTGTTTTAAAATCTATGCCTGTTGATGAAATTTTCACACACTCACCCGACACACATGTAACCTTCAGAACACTCCAATCTTAATACTAACACAGCATCTATCCTGCGCAAGGCACTGTACTAGGCCTGGGCCAGCTGACTGTGAAAGAACAACCACTACCCCACCTCTGAGAAGCTGACTGTGTCAGGGAGATGGACACTAAATCATCACACATATATTATAGTTAACAGGTTTTTCTTAAGAAGAAAAAGTAGATGGTATAAGGAAGCATATAAAAGAATACAACCTAAATTATAGGGAGCAAGGCAGGCTTCTCGTAGAAGCGACATTTAAGCTGAGATCCAGAAAATCAGGAGTTAGTCCAATGAAAAGTATGGGTAGGTCCTGACTGGCGTGGCTCAGTTGGTTTGGCATCGTCCCACAAAGCAAAGGGTCACTGGTTTGATTCCCTGTCAGGGCACATGCCTGGGTTGCAGGTTAGTCCCTGGGTAGATCACATATGAGAGGCAACCAATTGATGCTTCTCTCTCACATCGATGTTTCTCTCTCTTTCCCCCTCTCTTCCCTTCTCTCTAAAAGTAAAAATAAAAAAAAAATCTATATTTTTTTAAAAGTGAAGTATGGGTTGGTGTCCAAGCAAGGGGAACAGTATATGCAAAGACTCTGAGCTTCAAAGTTCAAGATGTCAGGTGGGTAGCA